GATCATCAGTAAGTTTACTCTTTTAATTGAAATAGGTGTTATGTGTAATTGTATGTTGCTGTATTGTCTCATTGAGCCATCTGTTCAGCAGGTATTTATTGGGCACTGGTATGTTCTAGAGATAAAGCCTTGATCATTCCCTCTTCATCAGGTAGCAAGTTAGCTGGGAAAGTAGGCTATTTAACAGTGAATGCTTTGATAGGACTAATAATAGCATTTAAGTTCCCTTGTGAACTAGTAGCATTTCATAATTCTGTGATTTGAGAATTAAAAGCCTTAGTGTCCTCTCGAACTTCTTAAGCTCCCAGATTTTACAAAGGCTTCTTTGGTGTTACTAATCTCTAATTCTGTTATGAAATTGTATAATCCCAATCTGGAGATAATCTGGGGCATTCTCTTGTCCAGTTAGTCCTTTCACAAATACTTTGTTTTTGTATTTACTAAGATGCCTGATGTAAAACAAGGACAATTACATATAAATATAAACTTTATTCTTTTTTGAGAGAAATGCTTCACTGTCCATTTCTTATTCAAATTGATCAAGCTCTTTCTGAGATATAATTTACCTTCAATCTTGAGAGAGCTGGAATCTTAGACTGAGGTCCAGCCTGTCCTAATACTGTGATGTCATTTTTTTTTTTACTTATCTTAAAAATAAGTAAATAAATATTTTAAGTATAACATATAGAAAAGTACACAAATCCTACATCTGTAGTTTAATGAATTTTTATGAAGTGAACATTCCATGACACTACCATGGGATTTAAAAAAGACCCTGGCTATTATCACTGCCCCAGAAATTTCCCTTATCTTCTTTCAGTTATGACTCATTCCCTTTTCCCTATCAGCCCCTAGCAATCACTAATTCACTTTCTGTTTCTGATTCTGTTATTCTGTACATTTCATAATGGATATTGTGCGTTTTGTGTTTGGCTTCTTTCACTTAGTATAAAGTTTTCAAGGTTCATTCACATTGTATGTATTTAGTACTTCATTCCTTTCTATGGTTGAATTTTATATCAATCTAGTAGGGGAGGGTAGAGCATTTAACAGTGAGTATGGATGTACTATATTACATTTTATCTGTTTATCATTCAATGGAAATAAGGATTATTTCTACTTTTTTGGCTATTATTAGTAATGCTGTTTTGAACATTCATTCACAACTTTTTGTATGCACACGTCACTTCTCTTGGATATATAACTAAGAGTGAAATTACTAGGTCATATGGAAACTATGTTTATTAAATTGTTATCCACTATGGCTGCATTTTCGCATTTTCATCAACAATATATGAAGGTTCTAATTTCTCCATATTCTGTTAACACTTGCTATTTTCTGTCCTTTTTATTATAGCTATTCTAGTGAGTATTAGGTGGTATCTTAAAAGTTTATTTGCATTTCCCTAATGACTAATGATGCTGAGTGTCTCTTCATGTGCTTATTGGCCATTTGTATATATTGATTTCAGAGAGGGAGAGAGAGGGAGAGAGGAACATCAATGATGAGAGAGAATTAATTGGCTGCTTCCTGCACACCCCCTTCTGGGGATTCAGCCTGCTATCCAGGCATGTGCCCTGATCAGGAATTGAACCATGACCTCCTAGTTCATAGGTTGACAATCACTGAGCCATGCTGGCTGGGCAAAATGTATCCTTTATATATTCTGTATACTAGACCCTTATCAGATATATGATGTGCAGATATTTTCTCTCATTCTGTGAGATGTCTTCACTTTCTGAGTAGTGTATTTTGAAGCACTAAAGTATTAAATTTTGATGAAGTCTAGTATATTTATGTTTTCTTTGGTTGCTTGTGATTTTTATATCATATCTAAGAGAACATTGCCTAATCCATGGTCATAAAGATTTATTCCTGCCCTGGTCAGTGTTTTTAAGTGGTTAGAACATCGACCTGTGCACCAAAGGGTCTCGGGTTCAATTCCCAGTCAAGGGAACGTACCTGGGTTGTAAGTTTGACCCCTGGCCCTGGTTGGGGCATGTGCAACAGGCAACCAATAGATGTGTCTCTCACATCCATGTTTCTCTCCCCCCGCCCCCCGCGCCCCAAAAACACCCCAACTGGAAATTGAATCCACAACCTAGCATGTACCCTGACTGGGAACCGAACCCACAAGATTTCAGTGTACAGGACAACACTCCAACCAACTGAGCTATACCAGCCAGGGCAGGAGTTAATGTTAGAGATCAAGGCAGGTGTTTCTGGGGAAATGTAGTATTTCCAAGCCTAGAATGCTTGGTGGGATTGTGCAATAGAGACAGATAGTCAGCCACATGGTAATAGATACCCATTCACAAACAACTAGGTGCATGTAGGCATGAATTTTTTTCATGTCCAAGTAATACTAGCAGTAAATTAACTCGTCTTCCTAATTACCCTTTTTCTGTAACCATGATTACTTCTCTATTGAGGTGGAAATGTTAGGGTATCCAGGGCAAGTGGCAGGTAGATATATCTTCAAAGAGAATAGCCCCGATTAAAACATTTTATAATACTGTTTTTCAGTATGTTTTCCTATTCTATCATAATGTAAAAGATATATGCTATGTCATCATTTTTAGGCCTTAATAATTGTATGAAATAAAACTTTTCTTATTAGTTGGCCACCTTTCTCTTATTTGTTATAACATGGGATGTCTTATCATAGATAACAGAACAAGGATGACATTAGCTGACGCTCTGTGTCCCCCTTTGATGCCTCTCAGGAATACAAGTGGCCAGGGGGACAGAGATGCCTGGGCTTGAGCTGTGGAGAAAGAAAACTTCAAGAGAGAGGCTCTCCAGATACTGGGGCTAAACGATGGTTGATGAACTTCCTTATAGGTGTCAGGAGCTAACTGGCTCTAACAGTGATTGTCCAAATTTATATTTAAACTCCCCCCCCACACACACACACACGAAATAAAGTATATACATAGAAAATAATTCTAGTAACTGACATTTGTGCAGTTCAAGCTACTTGACAATGGTTACTTTTCTTAAGATAGGGAGTTTAATCGAGGTTTTTAAAATCAAGTATGAACTTCTCTATCGATATTAAGTACAGAGTGGACATTTGGAATTCTATAGCATATAACAATACACTGTTACTTTTTGAGTATTATATCTGTTTCAAAATAAAATACTGGGTAGCCCTAAAAAGAATACATTGAAATGAATTTCTAGAAAAGGAAACTGAGTATTTACTTTTGAGTGGATATTTTAATCACAGGAAATAAAAATCTGAAGGGCACTTACATAAAACTTATTTTAGAGGCTAAGATTAAGCTATTATAGGTGACCAAGCTTACCAATATGTTTTAGACCAGCAAACTCCAGGGTAACTTAAATGCAATGAGATTTTAATAAAATATGGCTAAATAGGTTTTAAGCATCCCATTTCTGCTTTAAAGGGAACAAAGTAAAATAGTCTCAAGGGGAATGTATCTACATATAATGAATTACATATAAAATAGTTATTGAATAGACTTAATTTAAAGGTATATCCACTGATTGAAGACACATATTTTAGTGTCTACTGTATAGCAGAGATTGTTCTGGTCAAGATAGAGTGGTGAACAAAAAAGACCAGTTCTTGCCTTCATGAATTGTGGAGACAGAGATTAAGTGAGGTTGGTCAGTACATGGGAAACAAAGCAGGGTAAGTAGAGAGAATATGCTATTCTCTATTTCAGGAATGGTGGGTGGTTTTCATGTAACCTACTAGTTCTGTAGACACTCCCCGTAGACCTGGACTGAGGGCTGTGATTGCATGTTAATGATCACTGCTATAAGACCTGTGAGGAATGGTGGCTTGTATACTTTGGAATCAAACTTAAATTCAAATCCTAGCTTTGGCACTTACTACACAGATAAGTTTTGGGAGAGTAATTTAACTACCGTGAACTTGTTCCCTCTATGGTAAAGATGGGGAGAATTGACAGGGTTGTGAAAATTAAAAACTCCAGAAGATGCTCATTAAGTACTAATTTTCCCCATCTTTTTTTTTTTTTTTTTTTTTTTTTTTTTTTTTAATACTATATGTTATTTTTGGAAAGGGAAGATTTTCAGGCTCTCAACAGTTCTGGAGAATGGAAGAACTCTTGGATTTTCCAGAAGTGGAAGTCATGGATCCCCACATTAGCAACCCAACATTAACATAATTTAGCTACTCTTTGTATTGTTTTCTCTCCTTTTTGTTGTCAGTCTCTAGCTAACCTGCTGCTGCTCCTAATCCCATCTCTTCTTCACATTCCCAAGAGAATCTGGTGGATTGGTCCACTGGAGCCCTGATATTCTTGTGGGCAGTATTTTCACACCCAGCCAGATTCAGGCAGATGACCTGCTTGTAGGCTGGGAGCCCTTGGATCTGGTGTTCACTAGTGTTTGTTCCCATAGTAGCTAGTCTTCCTTCCTTTGCTGGGGCTATGATTTTCCTTCAGAAGGTGGCTTTGATTACTGCAGACACTAACCTAGGAAAATACAATGATGATTTAAAGAAATTGGAGGGAAGTGGGATAGGTTTTATGGTGGGAGATGGACTTTGAAATTTCTTAAACTGCAGATAATTGTTTCCTTTTCATTTTTCTTTTAAGAAGTTAGTAATTTATGCTATTTCTTGGAATCAATTGAAAATTATTCTTGCTTGAAGTAGGTACCAACTGATAGATCAATTTCTCTTTAGATTGAAAAAAAAAAAAGACTCATTAAGTTTTGAGTTATTGGTAATTCAGTTAGTAAATTATTCTTGATAACTGAAGATTTCACCAATCTTTTAGAGATAACTTTGAATCAAAAAGGTGGGGTTTTTTGTTGTTGTTGTTGTTTTTGGCTAATAGAAGTTCTACTCAATTCTCCCAGCTTCTCACATTGTTAAAATTTGTGAACTATTTCTTAAAACTATTTGATGATAGACAATTAGTATTTTAAAAATACCTACTAATGTTTATAATATACACTCAATATATTTATGTATAAAATTTAACTCTTTTTTTCCTAGGTAATTTATCCTCAGCATTCCAAACTTACTGATAAAGAAGTAAGTAAAAATATTGCTCTTAAGTTTACTGTTGTATTTATTTATTTTTATTGGTGTGTGTGTGTCAACATATATAGCTTTTGTTTTCTTTTTCAGAAAACCAATATTTGCTATTTGTCTTTTCCAGATTCAAATTCAGGTAACTATTTTTCATTTGGTGTTTCTGTTGAATTTCATGAATACTGATTTTACTTTAATATGTGAAAATTGATTGAAACAGCATATTAGAATGCCAACTGTTTCAGCCTAACAGGTCAGTGATTTAGATTCCTAGTTTTATGATGTTTAGTCATGTCTTGTTGATTATAGTTGCTTCAACTTTTAAAATAACTATAATGAGGTAAAACATCCAGGAAAAATAAATTGTTGAAATAGTGAAGAGATTGAAAATCAGCAACATTGGTATGTTTGGGGATTTTTTGTTTTGTTTTTGTTTGTTTTGTTTGGGGGTTTATAATAAGTAGTTTACTTTCAGTTTACGGTTTGAGAGCTTGCCAAGAACTATGTAAAAGCACTGAGTTAAATAAAACCCAGCACAACAGGTGAATCTGGTTATAAAGCATGACCATCAATTATTTTCACCCAATATGTGAGTTAATATATGGAAAGTACTTGGAATAGTGTCTGGTGTGTAGAAAACACCATATAAGTGTTTGGTATTATTTTAACTTGATTTTGATCTCTCAAACACTAATTGTTGAAGTGTTTCAGGTTACTTCTCGTGTTTCACCTTTAAAACAGCTTTTCAGGCTTATAATGACCAGAGCTTTCAACTTCTTAGACCACACACAGACAACCCTTTGTGAAGCAGACACTCCAGTTCCCTTTCCTTTTGAGGTTACTTCTAATATTCTGTTCATTTAGTTTAATCTGATTTGGGAGATTTGACATTTAAAATTTTTTTTCTTTTCTTATAAATGCTTCCAGAGGTTTTTCTATATATTGCAATATTTGGAACTGAGCTTTCATGACATATGTAAAAGAGAAGTGCTATTTTGTAAAAAATAAAAAGATACATTTGAGAGATCCTAGTAGGGCATTTGTTCTGGCTTGGAATTATTGGAATTTTTTCTTAAGTTTTGCCTACAAAGTCCACACATGTAATTCTGAATGTAATAAATGTTGGATTGGACTCCCAGGACTCAGGGTAAGCTGAGTTGTATGGATTGCAGGATGAGCTGATTATGTGATTGGAGTTCCAGCAGGTTCTACTGCACTTTCTTTTTCAGATAATAGTAGGCTTTCATGGCTTTCTTTTTTTTTCCATATCTCTATATGAGCATCGAGTTAATTAAATGGTGTTCAGATAGCCTTTTCATTTCTAATTTTGTAATTAGTTTTTCCATACCTTGTTTTCTTACTGGAAGTTAAACTCAGTGTAAATCAGAATTTGATCAGTATTTCATTTGAGTGACCTACCGATATTTTGTAATACCTTTTTAATAAGCTCTACATCAAATGAAGTGTGGTTTATTTTATTCAAAGTATGATGGCACTTAGAATTAAAATTGACAAGAGATCTTAAAAACAGACACTTTGCTCCCATAACAGATGAATATTACTGGAGACACCAAAAGATTGTGAGTTTTATGTGTATTTAAGATCAATGTTCTCAGTTGATTATCCAAAAAGTTTATTTGTGATTATCCAAAAAGTTTATTTCACTTAAGTGTTTTATTAAATGGAAGTTGGGATTACTGTGCCAACTTTGAAATGGATTTCATTTTTCCCAAAATAGCTTTTATTGTTATGAAAGGAAATCTAGGCACAATAGAGCAGTTTTTAGAAAGCCTAGGGTTCCTTTCCATGATGCACATTTTTTTGTAATCTTCACCAAGGATATGTTTTTGGTTTTTTAAAATATATTTTATTGATTTTTTACAGAGAAGAAAGAGCAGGAATAGAGAATTAGAAACATCGATGAGAGAGAAACATCGATTGGCTGCCTCCTACACACCCCCTACTGGGGATGTACCTGCAACCAAGGTACATGCCCTTGACCGGAATCGAACCTGGGACCTTTGAGTCCGCAGGCCAATGCTCTGTCCACTGAGCCAAACTGGTTAGGGCCCAAGGATATGTTTGTATAGATTTTAGAAAAGGGAGAGAGAGAGAGAAATATTGATTGGTTGTCTCCCGAATGTACCTTGACCAGGGATAGAACCCGAAATCTAAGTTATGTGCCCTGATTGGAAATCAAAGCCTCAACTTTTTGATGTATGGGAATACACTCCAACCAATGGAGCCACCTGGTCAGGGCTCCAGGGTGCACACTTTAAAAAGTAAAACATTTAGACTTTGATATGCTGAATAGGAAAAAAAAGAATGCTTTGGGAATTCCCAGTAGAATGATTTGCCAATCCTCTATTATACTTCCTCCATCCCATACTCTCACACACACCCTAGATTTCATGTCTTTAGAAATTGGTTTGTTTTTAGGTTTTGATTTCTTGTTCAATCTGAATGGTTTTTATCTTTAGGAGCCTACATTTAAAGTATGCCTTCGCTTTGATAAATATTTGTCAGGTTTTATTTTTCCTCCTATTGTTTATCGTTAACATTGTCTAGATACAAGTGTTCCTAAGGCTTAAGCTATAAGAGTAGCCAAGGACTATAACCACTATATTTTAAACATGTCCAGAGGGAAAAGTCAGCAATAGTTGAGAAAGTTTCAAATAATGATGAATTCAAGTGAAGGATTAATCCTTGCTTTGGATAAATTAAATATGCAGACAATATTTGTCTCAGCAGATTTTTTTGTCTATAAATAGTAAGGACATTGTCATGTGCTTTACACTTCCTACTCTTTAAAGCAATGCTTCTCATACTATCTGTGTTAAAAGGCCAGTTGAGTTTTCTTTTAAAAGAAAATCTTTATTTATGTATTTTTTTTTAGAATTATCCTATATAATAATATGCCAATATATAATAATATCCCAATATGCAAATAGACCAAACGGTGGAACGTTTAGCCACTGTGATGTGCACTGACCATTAGGGGGCAGATGCTCAATGCATCTGTGGGGTCAGTGCACTCCCACACTGAGGGGAGTGCTGCTCAGCCAGAAGCGGGGCTCACATTGCGAGCACATTGGCAGTGGTGGGAGCCTCTCCCACCTCCATGGCAATGCTAAGGACCCCTTGGGGGATGTCCACTGAGGGGTCCTGGACTGCTGTGGAACCCACAGGACACCTACTACACAAGGCGCGAGGGTGCAGGCCAGGCTGTGGAACCCTCCCTCCCCCAGTGTAAGAATGTCATGTACCGAGCCTCTAGTGTGCATATAAGAACTTTGGTTAATCTCTTTCTGCCCCCTCCCCCTTTTCTTCTGAGATTCGTTGGCCTGTTCCATGTTTCCATGTCTCTGTTTCTATTTTATTCATCAGTTTATTTTGTTCACTAGATTCCTTTTTTGTTTATTTTGATTTTTAGATTCAATTGCTGATAGATATATATTTATTGGCATTTTATTGTTCATATTTTTTATCTTCTTTATCTTTCATCTCCTCCTACTCCTCTTCTTTATTATCATCCTCTTCTTAAAGAATACCCTTCAACATTTCATGTAATACTGGTTTGGTGGTGATGAACTCCTTCAGCATTTTCTTGTCTGCAAAGCTCTTTATCTGACCTTCAGTTTTAAAATGAGAATTTTGTTGGGTAATGTAATCACGGTTGTAGGTCCTTGCTACTCATCACTTTGAATATTTCTTGCCACTCCCTTCTGGCCTGCAAAGTTTCTGTTGAGAAATCAGCTCACAGTGATATGGGTCCTCCCTTGGAGGTAACTAACTGCTTTTCTCTTGCTGCTTTTAAGATTCTCTCTTTGTTTTTAACCCTTGGCACTTTAGTTATGATTAAAGTGGGCTTCTTCGGGTTCCTCTTATTTGGGACTCTCTGTGCTTCCTGGACTTATAAGTCTATTTCTTTCACTAGGTAGGGAAGTTTTCTGTCATTATTTCTTCAAATAGATTTTTAATTTTTACTGTCTCTCTACTCCTCTGGGGATGTTGGTACACTTGAAGTTGTCCCAGAGGCTCCTTACACTGTCATTATATTTTTGGATACTTTTTTCTTTTCACTCTCCTAATTGTTTTTGTTGTTGTTGTTGTTTTTTGTTTTTGCTTTCTCATATTCCAAATCGTTGAGTTGATTCTCGGAATCCTCTATTCTACTATTGAATTCCTGTAAGTTATTCTTTATTTCGGTTAGTATATGCTTAATTTCTGACTAGTCCTTTTTCATGTCTTTGATGTTCTCACTAAGATCCTTGAAATTCTTACTAAGTTCCTTGAAGTTTTCACTAAGATAATTGAGAAACCTTATAACCATTGTTTTGAACTCTCTATCTAGTAGTTTGCTTATTTCCATTTCACTTAGTTCTTTTTCTAGAGATTTCTTCTGTTATTTCATTTGTGACTTGTTTCTTTGTCTCTGCATTTTGGCTGCTTCCCTATATTTGCTTCTATGTATTAGGTAGAACCGTTATGTTTCCTGGAATGAGTAGAGTGCCTTGTGTAGTAGGTGTCCTGTGGGTCCCAGTGACTCAGCTTCCCCAGTCACCTGAGCTGGGCACTCTAGGTGCACCCCTGTGTGGTCTGTGTGCGCAGTCTTGTAGTTGAACCTTGATTGCTGTTGGGGTCACTGGGAGGAATTGACCCCTAGGACAATTGGCTGTCAGGACCAGCTGTGACTACAGTGGAAGAGCTGCTGTGCAAGAGACAGCCCTATGGAGCAGGACTTGCTTCAATGGGGCTTTGGTGCTCATTGAGTCAGCTCCTTGAGTGTGTTGTTTATGGATGTGTAGAGTTGTAATCTGATATTGTCTGAAGCTGTCTACCGGGTACACTGTCTTGGGGCCTCCTGGAGGTACAAAGTCAGCCACTGCCTGGGGTCACGCAGCAGGAATTATAGAGCTATCTACAGATAGCTGCTACTTGTAAGGCCTTGGGAGTGCCCAGGAGAGGAGAGACGAGGCAGGCTGGTGCTAGTGCCTTATCTTGGGCCTCTTATTGATAGATGTGGGGCACCCTGACTCCAGCTGCTGCTGTTTGAGATATTTTAGGAAAGTTTGAAGCCTGAGCCAGGACAGACCATACATATGAAAAAAACGCTGCAAACAGCTTGTGTGGGGTGCAGATTGGATGGGGTGGGGGTCTCAGGGAATCACGAGGGAGAAATAAACAATTTGAGCCAGATTGATAGAAAGTCAGATATGGCTGCCAGTCAGGTCTGCAACAAGGAAGGTCTCAGCATAAGAACAATGACCCCTGTGAGCACCTCTGTCTGGGAGAAAGCCACCCCCGAGTTTTTGCTCTGATGCCGGACAATCCAGTCCTCCCAGTATGTCCCTGGATCCCCCAAACTGCTGCCTAGCATCGAGGGAGTGAGTCTGTGTAAGTTTGTGGGCCAGCATTTTAAGAGGAACTTCCCAGGTTTCTAGCAGCCTCTGTGTCACTCAGCCCCAAACCCTACTGGTTTTTACAGCCAGGATGTCCGGGGACTTCTCGCCCCGCTCTGGAACCCTGGGCTGTGGGTCGGATATAGGGCTGGGATTTCTTCTCCTGGGAGACCTCCACAGCCACAGTGTACCTCCCAGTTAAAAACGATACTTGTGGGTGCCAGACCAGCCTGTTCCGCACCTCTGCCTCTCCTGCCAGGCTCAGTGTGCTTTCTTCTTATGTAGTTGTAGGACTTCCATTCAGCCGTATTTCAGGAGGTTCTGAATGATGGGTTGTTTAGTATTTTAGTTGTAATTTTGATGTGGTTTTTGGAGGCAGTGAGTTTTGGTGTTTACCTACACCACCATCTTGGTTCTGTCCCAGGGTGTTCTGTTTTTTGTTGTTGTTTGTTTTTTGTTTTTTAGAGAGAGAGTGAAAGGGGAGGGGAGGGACATAGGGAGAGAAACATCGGTGTGAAAGAGAATCTTGGATTGGTCGCCCCTTGCACATGTTCCAACCAGTCTGGGCATTGAGCCTGAAACTGAGGTATGTGACCTTGGCTGAAATTAAACTCATGACTCTTCAGTTCATGGCCTGACGCTCTATTCATTGAGCAGCCAGTGGGTTTTTGAAAAATTGTGTAGAGTTGGTCTGTCCTGGCTCAGGCTTCAAACTTTCCTAAAATATCTCTAGGGCAGTCCAGTGGGCTTTTGAAAAATTTCTAATCTAGTGGACCAGTGTTTTTATAAAATGTAGTTTAAAGAAATATTTAGAAAATGAAGTCGAGATTTGTCATGACAATATCAAATTTCTGTAAGAGTTCCTAAATACGTATTCTCAGTTTGGATATTCATTTCATCCTGGATAGATTTATATACTGGCACCAGTCTATGGGCTACACTTTGAGAGGTATGTGCATTCAACTGGAATAGAACCCAGGACCTTTCAGTCTGCAGGCTGATGCTCTATTCACTGAGCCAAACCTGCTAGGGCAGTAGTTGATATTTCTTTAGTAATCTTTCATATGTGAGTGGACAGATCTCTGAAAATAAAACAGGAACCATTTACCTCAGTTCACAAGGACACTATTAAAGCCTTTTTGACCTGGTAAGCTTGCCTCCTGACCAATTTTGTATAGCTTTAAGGTGCAGCAGGAAAGTTCTCACAGCATGATTTGGAAATGGAACCAGGTGGGTAGGAATTTAAGGCTATGAGAGCTTCATTACTTCCCTTCCACAAAGCTTAGCATTTCTTACATTTTCTAGATGCTATAATATCTCTTTCTTAAAATCCATTGCATTTTTTTTCTGTTCTAGCTTATCACAGTCTCAGAGAAATTAGTGTTTACTTCTCAGTATACCTGCAGCCTAGGTATTTGCCTCATCTGGGAATATAACCCACAACCTTTTGATGTATGGGAAAATGCTCCAACCAACTGAGCCACACTGGTGAGGGCACTGAGTTGCTTAAAAATATATATATATATGTTTTATTGATTTTTTTACAGAGAAAAAGAGAGAGGGATAGAGTTAGAAACACTGATGAGAGAATCATCGATCAGCTGCCTCCTGCACCCCCCCCACTGGGGGTGTGCCCGCAACCAAGGTACATGCCCTTGTCCGGAATTGAACATAGGACCTTTCAGTCTTCAGGCCGACTCTATCTACTGAGCCAAACTGGTTTCGGCCTGAGTTGCTTTTTAAAAAACATATTGGTGCTCTGACCAGATGAAGTTTTTTCTGGTGTTAGGAGGGCTAGACTTCCTTTTTAATTTGATTTGGACTTGCCCTGGAAAACACAGTGTAGGTACAATGCAGCCCCTCTTTGTTCCTGGCCAGTGTCAAGTCAACTGCAATTGAAAATGATCTACTTGTAGCCCTTGAAGTAGTATTTCTGGGAGATCAGTGTCCTGTTAACCTGTTAATATCAATTTCAATATCATCCTACTGATTATAATATTAGAGTTGAGGTTCAGGGGATCGTCTCCTTTTTATGTCTGAAGTCATTTTTATGTCAATGTTCTCCATTCTTGAAATTTCAGTACCTGTGCCCTTTGCTGTCCCCGCCATCCAGCTCTTGTAAGAATAAGTATGGAAATAATGCAGATAAACAAGGTATTCCCCCAAAGATCAGGAATAGTATATTTATATTATACATTGGAAAGAAAATCAACCAGAAGGTTAAGAGCAATGATCAGTTTTTGCTACTCAAAATATTACATGGCTTATCTTTCTCCACCTGAGAATTCAAAAGCTAATATAATCCCTATAACCGTGACTGTAGGAAGACTACATGTTAGAAGCAAGAATGCCATCTGAGGATCCCATTTGTTATGTTAAATTCTCAGTGTTTGAGATTATTTGATTTTTGATGGAATGGTCCTTTGTTTTACAATCCTTTATTTAGAGGGGCCTGCCTCTGTTTTTAACTTCATAAGGAATTATAATAAAGTGTATTTTCTTTAAAAAGAAAAAATAAACACATTGTTTTATTTCTTTTGTTAAGAACTTCATGTGCTAAAGTACTTCTGTGCATAATGATAAGTAATAATAAAATCTTGAGCACATTTCATATTTAACATATTCCTGTTCATTTTAAATATAGTAACTGGGAAAAATTTGAGTGACAGGCTACTTCATCTGACTTTTTAGAATATTCAGTTTTTTGTAATTATTGCCTGACATTTTAGTTGTAAAGTTTACATGTTTAAGAGGTTTCCTAAAATTATTAAAGGTTAAAAAGTTATTCGTAATTAAAATAGTAAGTTTATTACTTGAGCTCTTCCTGATTCGGCTGTATTATGCCTTTTTAAAAAAATTCTCATTGTGAAATATAAAACACATACAAGGTCAAGAAATACAACTTTGCCAGTACTTCAAAAGCCCCTTATGTCTCCCCCAAATACTGTTTCCATCCCCTTTCAAAAGTAACCACTACCCTGATACTTTAAAAAATATATATATTTTATTGATTTTTACAGAGAGGAAGGGAGAAGGATAGAGAGTCAGAAACATCGATGAGAGAGAAACATAGATCAGCTGCCTCTTGCACACCCTTCTGGGGATGTGCCCTTGACAGGAATCGAACCTGGGACCTTTCAGTCCACAGGCCCACGCTTTATCCATTGAACCAAACCAGTCAGGACACTACCCTGATTCTTACAGTATTAAGTTTCTTGCTGCTTTAGAGTTTTATCACCCAACCATGCATCTCTGAAGTCTATAATCTTGCCTGCTTTTTAAAAATAAATATTTTTATTTAGAGAAGAAGGTAGAGGGAGAGAGAGAAACATCATGATGAGAGAGAATCATTGATTGGCTGCCTCCTGCATGTCCCACACTGGGGATTGAGCCTGGGCATGTGCGCTGACAGGGAATTCAACCATGACCTCCTGGTTCATGGGTCTACACAACACTGGCCAGGCTTGCCTGCTTTTTATAAAAACAACTGGATTTGAACTATGTATTATTTTGTATTTGGCTTCTTTTGCTCATTATTATGTTTGTGAATCTGCATGCAAACAATCTATATAATAAAAGGCCAGAGGCCATAAGCATCACAACGGGAATGACGGCTCCACTAGTCATCATGAAGTGCCATTTACTACCTCTCGGTCCCTCGGTCCTGGGTATGTGAGTGGTGGTGGGGCGGGACCGGGGACTGGTAAGTGAGCTGAATTTCTGACCTCTTGGTCCCCGCCCCTCCCCCGCCCACAGTCTCCGATGGATCAGTGATGGTGAAAGGGGCAATTGGGTGCGTGGCCGGAGGAATGGGCTGGCTGTCAGGCCATTGGGATCACTAGCTCATCCCCAGCTGCTCGGGGACTCAGGCCTGCGGGAAAGCAGGGCGACTTCACCTCCATGCGCCAGGCCAGATGCTGATGGAGCTGCCCGTTTGGGGCTGCTCATGCCAAGGCAGGTAGGTCACAGGCGCACCCACAGCTTTTGTCAGCGCTTCAAGCCCCAGCAGCAGCAACTGTGGCGGCATTGGTGGCACTGGCATTAGCAGCCCTGAACGGGCAGTGCTGTCCATCAGTAGCTGACCCAGCACAATCACATAGAGGTGAAGTCGCCCAGGGCCTGCTTTTCCATTTGGCGGAGGTGGCATTTGGCCTGGGGACTGGCGTGGGTAGCAGATAGCCCTTATTGCAGGAGGCCAGATCTAGGGACCCTACCTGCATGATTTCATGCACTGGGCCTCTAGTTTTAAATACTTTTAATTACATGGGGAAAATGAAATAGGAAAAATAATGCAGGACTTAAGATGCGTGTTTTGCTAATGACTTTGCCTCTAACCAGTGAAGATAGCTTTGAGCAAGTCACTTGACCTGTCAGGATCTCTTTTTTCTTCTCTAAAACATGATAGAATTGATTTAAATGATTTCTAGGACCTCTGCCACTCTATCATTTGATGAAACTGGATAAGTAAGTGTTATACTGTGCTATCCTAAACTTATTCATTTTTGTTTTCATTAGGTTGTCTTGGAGATACCCAGTTCTGTTTTAGATTTCGACAGTCTTCTGGGAGGAGGGTGTCACTGCATTGTTTCCTGGATCAATTTGACAAAGATTTACCAGTTTACTTAAAGGTTGGAAAAATAGTAATAAAAGAATGTCTTTGTGAGAGGAAACTTTAAAACTCAGTTACTTCTTATAGCATTCAGAAACATTTTGTTTTGTTTTGTTATTATATCACCCTGCTGAATTTCCTGAATCTGATTCAAATAGATTCAATATGTGAGTGAAAGAGACTTTATAAAGTTACTGTTCTTGAAATGTAATGCCCATTGGGAGTTATAGAAGTTGATTAGAATGCTGAAGTAATTTTCTTTCATTTGTTAATAACTCCTTGTTTATTTTATTATTGTTATATTTAAACCTCACTTGAGGATATGTTCATTAATTTTAGAGAGGGGAAAAAGAGAGAGAAACAATGTGAGAGAGAAATTGCTTCCCGTACTGGCCTTGACTAAGGATTGATTGAACCCACAATGTAGGTATGTGTCCACACCAGGAACCAAACTTGCAACTTTTTTGGTGCGTGGGATGGTACTCCAACCAACTGAGCCACCCGGCAATAACTCCTGGTTTAAATTTTTTTTAAAGTTTTATTCTTACTGATTTTAGAGAGGAAGGGAGAGAGAGAGACATCACTAATGAGAGAGAATTATTGATTGGCTACCTCCTTCACACCCCATACTGGGGATGGAGCCTGCAACTCCAACACGTGCCCTAACCAGGAATCGAACTGTGACCTCCTAGTTTAAAGGTTGACATTTACCCACTGAGCCACACCGGCAGGGCAATAGTTCCTTGTTTAGATGTGGAGATAGGGTAGTATTATGCCAGTAATATCACCCAGAGTTAGATTTCCTGTGGTAATCCCTACTTACTGTATGATATAGGATTATAATTCCCTTTTTGATGTTTTAATGAGTTTTGTTTTAAAATTATTGTTTATTAAAATAATGTTAACAATTCCGATTATTCCAGAGCATACATTTCTGTTTTGTACCCACACTTACATTTCTAACCGTGTGAGAAACATTTCCATCTATGTGTCCTACCAGCACATCCAATATGAACTTTACATAGTTTGCCTAAAATCAGCATTTACAGTATACCTAACTGGTTTCACTAATGACAGGAACCCTCTCCCAGTTAGCTAAAGGTATTACCTTTGAAATGTCTCTTGTAGCTATCTATTCCTTTCCATGACCTTCTGCTTTCATTATTAACATTTTCTTTCAACTGATGATGATAATCATTACATTTATTAGCCCTTTTTATGTTCTAGGTTCACTATATCAATAAACATATTATTTCATAGTGTTCTGAGAGCATTCCTTTTGCAGATGAAGGAATTAAGGGCTACGGAGGGTATGAAACTTGCCCAAAGATATTCCAACGCAATGTATTTTCATGGTGTTCCCAGCTATGTACATATGTACATATATATTATCTAAAAACAAATTAAATCTAAAACGACTACCTATTATTTAATAAAGAGCTAATGGTAGTACTGTTTACTTGTCCTCACTTTCTGGGCCTTCCAAAATAAGGCCTTTACCTTTCTAGTTTCCAAATTTTCACCCTTTCTATACACGTGCCATATTTTAGCCTAAATAAACTACTTTTATCTTGTGATTTTTGTTTGTTTGTTTTTTGTGGGGGTTTTTTGTTTGTTTGTTTCTGGAATAGCTTGTATTTTTCTGTATGTTTTTGCTGGAACTCCTAAACCTGGAATGTCTTTGTCTTTGTTTAAACATATCCATCCTTTATTGCCCCAAACTAGGTGTCTCCATGAAATCTTTCCTGATCTACATAGACAGAGATAATCTCTTCCCCCTTGGCCTCTTCGTAACACTTTGGGCTTTCTTCTTCTATTCCATAATGGTCATTTTTGTACTTTCCTTATTCCTTTTAGAATATGATCTCCTTTAGGAACTGTGACTTATGCACCTTTACATCTTCTCTAACACAATGCCTTGTTCAGAGTATGTGGTTGGTCAATAAGTATTTGCTTCAAAAATATCAAATGAGGAACCAGGCCAAAATTTATTCCATTAGGATGTCAAAACTTCTTAAGTTTTTTGGAATGTAATTACTTTTCAAATTGTATGTTGATAAACATTCCAATGTTTCATTATTATTGAATAAAAACGTTACTGACTGCCGGGACCGGTTTGGCTCAATGGATAGAGCGTCGGCTTGGGGACTGAAAGGTCCCGGGTTCGATTCCGGTCAAGGGCATGTACCTTGGTTGCGGGCATATCCCCAGTAGGGGGTGTGCAAGAGGCAGCTGATCGATGACTCTCTCTCATCGATGTTTCTAACTCTCTATCTCTCTCCCTTCCTCTCTGTACAAAATCAATAAAAAAAAAAATAAAAAAAAATAAAAAAAAAAAATTTGACCTGCAACTTTAAAAAAAAAAAAAAAAAAAAAAAAAAACGTTACTGACTACGCAAGATTCAGATTGGCATTTAACTCCTTTTGTTTTCTCTAAGTTTTACATTAGGACACTTCATTTTACTAAGATTGGCCCCTAATGCAAAAGTATAGGCTGGATTTTAAAAATTATACAAAGCATTGGGGAAGAACAATTTAATTGTTCATAACTCCCTTTAACTAGTATAGCTATGAATAAAGAGTATAAACAGTAAGTTATAGAGGAAAATATGACTTTATTAATGATTATTTCATCTTTGGGCAAGTTAGCAGGTTTTTATCTGGCTATTACTGTCATGATTGTTGTTTGTATTGGTGGAAAAGCATAACTAGCTCTTTGTGTATACCTCATAACTCTGTTCGGGTTTATAAAGGAACCTAATGTTAGTAATAAAGGATGGCTACACATATTTATCTTTTTTATTTGTCACTTCTTTTATAGAAGGATCCTGCTTATTTTTATGGATATGTGTATTTCCGACAAGTTCGAGACAAAACTCTAAAAAGAGGCTATTTTCAAAAGGTAATTTTCAGATACACTATAATAGAAAAATATTTTTATAATATGGTTAGAAAGATAGAAACCAGCAGAATGGATAGTCTTTAAAGTCTTTGATATTTTATTTTTAAACATACTAAAATTTATATTTTATCTTTGTGTTTTTTTCAGATTATAGACATATGTTCCTAGATTTTTCTCTGCTATTGAATTTCACCTTTATGCTATCTCTGTACTATATTTCTGACAATAAGTTACAGGGTTTTTTTTGTGTTTTTTTTTTTTAAATATATATTATTGGTTTTTAATAGAGAGAAAGGGAGAGAGATAGAGAGCTAGAAACGTCGATGAGAGAGAAACATCGACCAGCTGCCTCTTGCACACCCCCTACCGGGGATGTGCCCGCAACCAAGGTACATGCCCCTGACCGGAATCGAACCTGGGACCTTTCAGTCCGCAGACCGACGCTCTACCACTGAGCCAAACCGGTTTCGGCAAGTTACAGTTTTTTGTGAGGCTGTCAAAAGCCAGAAATATCTGCTTAATTTTTAAAAATAGTTTATTGATTTTTTAGAGATAGGAAGGGAAAGGGAGAGAAGCATTAGTGTGAGGTCACAGTATTGATCAGCTGCCTCCTGTAAGGCCCCATATGGGGGATCAAGCTGCAACCTGGGCTTATGCCCCTGACCAGCAACCTCCTGGTCCACGGGATGACACCCAACCAACTGAGCCACAGGCAGAATCTACTTAATTTTTCCATTTTAGAATAAGGGAAAGAATAAACAGATTGTAATATAGTTACAATTAATACTTTCTTGAAGAGTCAGTTAAATATACGTTAGCAATATCTAGGCATAGTTTTTACTGTAAGTGTACAATCCTTTACTTTCTTTAAAAAAAAAAAAAAAATCAGTTTGTTTCAAGTCAGTCCCAGCTAATGGAACACACCTTTACCTTTTGTAACCAGAGTATGTCCTGACCAGTAATTGATGCTGGACAGAAAAGTAAAAAATAATTTTCAACAAAAATGGATTTTAAAAATAAGATCAACATAATCTGTATCTGAAGTGATTAAACTGCAAAGCCACAATTTCTAAGTATGTGGCTATGACCATTGGACTCTACAATATTGGGGGGAGATAGGAGAGGATAAAGGTAAATAAGTGGTAATGGAAGGAAACTTGGGGTGGTGAGCACACAATACAGTATACAGATGATGTGTTTATAGAATTGTATCCCTGAAACCCATTTAATTTGATTAACCTATGTCATTCCAATGAATTCAATAAAAAGTAAAATGTAACAGTTACAGGTCTTAGTTTGAAAAAGTATCACAATTTGCTCTTTCCTTATTAGGAATAATTTATCTAGCTAATTGTTGATATTGCTTTGCTAATGATAGTAGTAGCAAATTTTAGAAATTCTCCATGATGTTAGTCTGTTTACAGGAAATTCTTTTTCCTGGAAAGAAGGAAAAATCTGTCAATGTGCTTTTTATGTTCTTAAAGTGTAGTAATAAGGTTAAAACTTTTTGTATTCTGTGATTATAATTTTTAAGTTTCCTTTTAACCATATACTGTAAAAGCCTTTTTATTTCAAAATCCACACTTTTTGCTGAATATAGATTGTTAGTAATTGCTGATGTAAAAAATGACAAACTTAAATTATAATCACTAGGAAATTAAAAAAACAATAACACCTTGTTTCTTTTTTCCCTCTAGTCCTTGGTTTTGATCAGCAAACTACCTTATATTCATTTTTTTCACACTGTACTCAAACAGATAGCACCAGAATATTTTGAAAAGAGCAAACCTTATTTGGAAGCAGGTAAGTTAAATATTGTGTGACTTAAGTAGCTTTATGAAGGAGTTTTAAAAATTTTACTGGAAATGGTCTGATAATAATGAAGTTGACCTTTTAAAAATTTAGTTAAGAATTTTATGGTGAGAGAGAGATGTAAAACTATTCTTCTGGCATCTTTTCCTAAAAACACCAAAAACTATAATTTATTATCTCCATTTGCACCATAGGACAATAATAAACAAATATTGAGTTGACATTTCTGATACTTAGTACTGTTAAACAGAAATCCTTATGTCACTCAGTTCAGAGAGAAGGCCTCTGCCAAGTGGTGTGCTTTTGTAGCTAATTGTAGTAGTAATAAATTGATAGGAAAACTCCTCTAAACCTATTATTTGGTTGCTTTAAAAAATATATTAACCAATTTTATCCTAGCAGAGGTGTATTTCTGGTGAAATGTAAGATATTTTCACTGCTTTTATATTTTTTTACCTCTTTTCTTCCAACTTTCCCAGTATATTTGTCCTGCCCTATAGAAAGTAGAGTTCTAAAATCTAATATGCTATTTTTCATATTTTAATATTTTCATTTATGCTAAGGAAGAGTTTTATTATGTTTTTACAGCTTGTAATGATGTTGATCGATGGCCTGCCCCAGTGCCAGGGAAAACATTATACCTGCCTATTATGGGAGTAGTAATGAAGGTAATGGCTTATATTTCATTTGTCTTTTTTTTAAAAGATCTGTAAGCGTTCACACACGAGTTTTGCTTTTTAACTTCCTAATAACATCTAGTCTTGTTATTACCTTCACTTGTTTACTTATTTTATGTGAGGAATTATAGATACCAGTTCATCCTGCTGCCCAGAACCATTAGTCACACAACAGGGGCACCAGTCCCATCTTCCTGTAAGTTTGGGTGCGGGGGTTATCATAACTTATACAATAAAGAGCTAATATGCAAATGGTCGTCATGCCCTCATGACGTAAAGGCTCAGACACTCAACACTGGGGAGAGAGGAATGGGGACCAGCCAGGCACAAATGAGCTTGTGAGAGAGGAATGGGGACTAGTCAGGCTGCGGCCCAGGAGAGGGACAAGCCACCCACCATGTGGTCCCAGGCACCAGTGGCTGTGCCTGTGCCTGGGCCCGGAAGAGGGACGAGCCACTCACCCCATGGTCCTGGGTGCCTGCAGCTGCAGTTCAGGCCCTGATGAAGCTGTCCAGGTCCTCGGTGCCTGTGACCGGCCGAAGGAGAGAATCCTGGCTCCCAGGTGCAGGGCAAGGTAGGGGTGATTAGGCCAGTAGAGGAGCAGTTAGGGGTGATCAGGTCAGTAGGGGAGCCATTAGGGGCAAGCAGGCAGGCAGGCAGAGGTGGTTAGGGGTGATCAGGCAGGTAGGTGAGTGGGTTGGAGCTAGCAGTCCCTGGTTGCGAGAGGCAGTTGGACATCTCCTGAGGGGTTCAGGATTGGAGAGGGTGCAGGCTGGGCTGAGGGACCTCCCCTTCCATGAATTTCATGCACTGGGCCTCTAGTCTTCCTATATATCAAAGCCTAAGCGACTGTTTGACTGGTAGCTATGACGCGCACTGACCGGGGGCAGATACTCAGTGCACAAGCATAGAAACATGGACAGACTGATGAATCTCAAGAGGGAAGGAGAAAGGGAGGGGCGGGGAAGGCAGAAAGAGATTAACCCAAGATCTTATATGCATACTAGAAGCCCGGTGCATGGATTTATGCACCAGTGGGGTCCCTCAGCCTGGCCTGTAAGTACCCGGTTGAAACCAGCAGTCTGACATCCCCCAAGGGATCTTGGATTGTGAGAGGGTGCAGGCCAGGCCGAGGGACCCCACCAGTGCATGAATTCATGCACCACGCCTCTAGTTTTTATATAATACATGTGCATATAAATGCCACCTAGAATTCTGCTACTTTATGGCTCTCCAGAGATAGGTGGTATTGCAACATACTTATAGGATCAAGTATGAATTACTAAAAATTAAAAGAAATTAGGAAAGCTAGTTTTTTAGTCTTAAATTATCTTAATATGTAATATCAGACCAAACATGTCCATTCTAGGATATTGTTTCCTATTAAATTTTATTTCCTTCATTTTCTAAAATTAATTTGAATTTTGCTCTCAGGCTCTGTATGATGTGCTCTAAGTGCTTTTGCATTTAATTTCTTGTTGGACTTATTTTTGTCAATGCTCTCTTAAATGTGCTCTTTTCTCTGTTTTGTTTTTTTCCCTGGAAAATCATCAAAAGTAGCCTTGGCTGGAGAGTTTTCATGGTTTCCTATGGGATTTAGTCCATAGTTTGGCAAGCTTGGAAGGGTGTGTTTGGGTGTGTGTATATTAATGCAGCAAAGATTGGAACAATAAACTGGAAGCGGTATGAAGTTGATGTCCCTTTTCTGTTTTTCAGCACATTTGCTTCTCATTGGTTTAGTGATTTCTGTGTGTATGGGAATATGGAGACCTTGGTGCATTTACCTTTAGCTGTGACTGAATATAAATGTGACTTCAGTTTTTAATCTGACATAAATACCTCGTTTTTATGGCTTTTTAGGTAATGCTAAGTGTACCTTTTTAGCAACAGGATAGAGTATTTCTGATTTGTCTGTGGTGGGGTTGGTAAATTATATAATGGACATTCTTTTGTTACCAAGGTTAATTTCTTCTTTCTCTTTAAGGTTCGGATTCCCACATGTCATGACAAACCTGGGACAACTCAAATAGTGCAGGTAGTGTGCTACTGTGGTAGAATAAAGCAGCACATAGAGTCTCTTTAACAGACATTTTAAACTAGCAAATGCAGTCTTGGATTTATGATATAATTCTGAATATTACTGAAATATCCTATTAAATAATATTTTAATGAATTGACAATAAACTTCCTATTGTTTCTCAGATATTTTTCTTGTTCTTTCTCTGGTAAATACTGTTGAGAACTCAGAATTTATACTGTAATTGTGAGGACAAGGGGAAAGTAAATATTTTTTTCAGCAAGATTTAATTCTAAAAAGCCTCTTTTAGAGTGGTCAGCAAACTTCTGCTTTTAACAAACTCAATCAAAAGGATTCTGTAGTTATGATTGCCTTTCATTTTTCTCAAAGCCACATCTGTTCTAGGGTGGAGTTGAATTTTTTCATCTGAGACATTTTACCTACTAGCACTTCCATTGTTCTGTGAATTGAATAAAGCAGTAGGAAAGCTAATTTTGCCTGTTATATATGTCATATAGTATTATGGTAGTATTTCATACAGTTGTGAATTCGTCTGGCCATTAAATTAATGCTTTAACCATGTAATCGCTGTTTCCTTGATCTTCTGCTATTTTAGGGGAGATGGGTCAGATCCACTTTCTGTGGCTTTTCCTAGAGCAAGAGATTCTTAAAAGATAGGGCAATATGTTTTTTGATCACGAGATAAATAAGTATATTTTAAAAATCAATTTCTGCCTGAAACCGTTTTGCTCAGTGGATAGAGCTTTGGTCTGCCAACTGAAAGGTCCCAGGTTCGATTCCGGTCAAGGGCTTGTACCTTGGTTGCAGGCAGTAGGGGGTGTGCAGGAGGCAACTGATCGATGTTTCTCTTTCATCGATGTTTCTAACTCTCTATCCCTCTTTCTTCCTCTCTGTAAAAAAATCAATAAAATATATATTTTTAAAAATCAATTTCTGTACATTTTAGTGACATCTCTATTTCTTCTTTTCTATCTCTTAGGCAGACACACACATATCTGTTGTTTTATCTACTGTTCATGAAGTGGATCTTTTCAGGTAAAGAGTAAAAAATTTTAACTGCTTTTGTTTTGTGATGTTAAATTTCTTTAGAAAATGAATGTTTATATATGAAATGTAGGAAAAAAACTGGAAAATAATCATGCTTCACCCGGACTGAATATTACAAGCTTTGGTATTGTAATGATGTTAAAAAAAATAGTACACTTGTTCCCTGGCCTGTGTGGCTCAGTTGGTTGGAGCAGCATCTTTATACCGCAAGGTTGTAGGTTGGATTCCGGGTCAGAGCGCATATCTAGGTTGCGGGGTTTGATCTCTGTTTGGGGCATGTACGGGAGGCAACCAATCAATGTTTCTCTTTTTCTCTCTCCTCCTTCCCTCTCTCTAAACTCAAACATATTCTACAATGAGGATTAAATATTTTTAAATGCACTTATTTTTTTAGAGATGCACTTTTAAGTATTTCGAGGTGAAATGTCATGAGGTTTGTATTTTATTTTAAAGTACTTCAAATAAGAAAAAGTAAATGAAGCAAAAATAGCAAAATGTTAACACAAGATGATACATATAAGGGAGTTCTTAAACTATTATCTTTATTTCTCTGTATGTTTGAAACTTTTCAAAATGCAAAATTAAAAATTAAGTGCAGATAATCTAGCACTTAAAAAAGAAAGAAGGAAAAAGTACAATTGTACTTTACACAGAGCAGCCAAGTAAGAATCCTTGAATTGGTGCCCAAGTTCCAGCTCCCAAGTTGTTCTCATGTGGAGCTCAGCTTGAGAAACCACTGTTATAAATGAGCAATTGCCGAAACCGGTTTGGCTCAATGGATAGAGCGTCGGCTTGGGGACTGAAGGGTCCCGGGTTCGATTCCGGTCAAGGGCATGTACCTTGGTTGCGGGCACATCTCCAGTAGGGGGGGTGTGCAAGAGGCAGCTGATCGATGACTCTCTCTCGTCGATGTTTCGAACTCGCTATCTCTCTCCCTTCCTCTCTGTACAAAATCAAATATATATATAAAAAATAAAAATAAATGAGCAATTACTAAATATTAATACATATAATCAGAAGTCATGTGAAAGACTTACAGTGGAGTTTTGGTTTGATTTTGTGTGTGTGTGTGTGTGTGTGTGTGTGTGTATGGGTTGGTTTTTTTGTTTTGGTTTGTGTGTGTGTGTGTGTGTGTGTGTGTGTGTGTGTGTGACCTGCATGGAATACTGCTTCAAAGATTATTAGTTTTATATGCTAGTTTTGCTTTATGTACTGGCCCTGGCACAGCCCAGTAATCCTACTTTTAGGTATTTACACAATAAAAATGAAACATACCTACACAAAGACCTGTATACAAGTGTTTATAGCAGCTTTACATACCAGCCTAATATTGTAAATAATGCAACTGTCCATCAACTGGTAAATGGATAAACAAAATGAGATATGTGCATGTGCATGGAATACTACTCAGGGATTAAGAATGAACTATTGATATTTTATGGATGACTCTCAGAAGCATTATAGTTAGTGAAATGAGCTAGATTTTTAAAGAGCTACTTACTGAATGATTCCATTTATATAATATTCTGGAAAAGGCAAAACTATAAAAATCAGGCCTTTTATCTTTTTAAAGATTTGATTGATTTTATTTTGAGAGAAAGAGAGAAAAGGAGAGGGGGGGAGAGAGTGAAACATTGATGTGAGAGCCTAATATTGATCCGCTGCCTCCTGCATGCCCACTTCTGGGGGTCTAGCCTGCAACCCAAGCATGTGCCCAAACTAGCTTGCAACCCAATCAAATTGACAACCTTTCAGTGGAGGACACACCCAACCAATCAGCCAGGGCTCAATGTGAAGTGTTTAGAATGATTACATGGGAACTTAACAAGTTGGATAAATAACTGTTCCTACTGTGTAAACACCTTTCAGGTGTTTTTTCCCAGTTTTCTTTCACAGTCAGATGCTTTGGGAACTTGTGCTGTTGGGGGAGCCCCTTGTGGTCATGGCACCATCGCCTTCAGAGTCTTCGGAGACTGTATTGGCACTTGTTAAGTGAGTACATTCGCTTCTTAATGATGATAGTTGTAGCACTTTCCCATCTGTTATTTACTGGTACACTTATTGCATTGATCCGCACAAAGAAGTTAGTGCTTATTATAGCACCAATTTATAGATGAGAAAATTAATCAGGCTTCATGAAGGCTGGAACCATGTTCTTGTTTTTCTAGCAACAAGCACATTCATTTATTTACACCAGGGATTTCCAACCCATGTGCCCAAACATGCAATACCTGACTGTTTAGTCAGGGGAACTGACCTCTTTACCCTACGATTGTCAAATTAAAAAATGACAACAGCCAACACACCTATAGCCATTCGGTGTGAATGAATCAAAATTATACCAGTGCTCCTCCTTTCAGGAGCACGCCCACCCAGCTCTGCTCCTTCCCTTAGGTGTGCTACCTTTGCCTTTCCCTCTGCTAAGCCTTAAGGTCCCTTCTGTTGCTTCTATAACTTGTTTCCTGAGCCGCTGCAGCCCAGCTGGCTCACTTATACTACCTCGGTAACTTCTAAATAAACTTTCTCTTATAACTTGAAAAAAAACAAAACACCCACCTTTTTATTTTTGTCAGAGCAGCAAAAATATATTTTTTGGTATGCCATGGAATTTTAGTAATTAGTTTATGTGTGCCATGAGATAAAAAAGTTGAAAATCTCTGACATACACAAAGTTGACACCTGAAAAATATTAGGTATGTGAATGGTCAGTGTCTAGTAAAAAGCATATGATAGAATCAGAATTTCACCTTATATTTTGCCCCAAGTCCAATGTTCTTTCAATATGTCCTTTCACATAATATATTTCCATTTCGTTTCTAGTTTCCAGAAATGAGTTTGCCATTTATTGAAATAGATACATTATCCCATTAGGCGTATATTGTGTATATGGATGTTTTATGCTTATTGAGCAGGGTCTTTAATTTCTGTGTCCTTTCTGTTACATGTTCTCGCTCCACAGCTGTATTTCTCCATTGAAGTACTTCAGTGACTTCCGACCTTATTTCACTATTCATGATAGTGAATTCAAAGAATATACTACTCGTACTCAAGCCCCGTAAGTAAACAAAGAAACTTTTTATTAACCAATTATTAACTTTATAAACTGCAGAGTCATTTTTAGTAATAATTTAAAAGTTTAAATTTTGAACTTATTGGCAGACTGATTTTATAAAGTAAGGTTTAAGGAGCTGCTGGTTCCCATTTCCAGAGTCAGCATCTTATTTTCTTTGAATGATTCATTTTATTAGTGGGAGCTATATTGTTATTAATAGCCACCCAACTGTACTGTCAGTTTTATCTTCTTTTCATACTTCAGGATCTCTTGTAGTATCAATTATCTCTTCTTGCTCTATAATTTCCATTTTCTTCTTCCTCTTCACTGAATTAGCATGTAAACATGAACATTCTTCCTAGTCTGTAAAAGGGGAAAAATTATCTTATTCTTTTTTAGCTCCTGCTCTAGTACTCATCTTCTTTTCATAGCTAAGTTTCTAGAATAACAATGAAAACCTCTCTTTACTGTCTCCTTTTCTTGGTTTTCTGGTTGCTTCTCAGTCCATTGCATGTTGATTTCCCCATCTCAACTGACGTTGTTCTTGCCTAAGTCACTAAGGCCCTTTTCACTGCTGGACCCTGTGCGTGCTGTATTGCCCCATTTTCCCTTTCTTATAACAGTTAAGCTGTTGACCATGAAAATATTTTAATCCTGATACCTCTCTTACCTGGCTGTCTGGTGGTGCATCTCACTCTCCTGTGCAGACTATTCTTTCTCTTCCAACCTCTTAGATGTTAGTATTCTTCAGTGTTGGGTTCTGAATTCTGATTTCATACTAATAATTGTTTCTGTACTATCTTATCTGTACTCATGACTTCTGTTAACACATATATACCGGGGTCTGAAGTTTATTTTTCTAGTCAAAATCTTTATAAGGTCCAGACCTATATATCCAAATTTTATTTTTTAACCACATTTGCTACTTGAACATCTAATGTCACCTAAAACAAAACATGTTTAAACAATTCTTTTTGTTTGCTTCCCTCCCCCCCCCCCGTTCCAAGCCTCTTACTATTTTCATGAATACTATTACTTTTTGCTTAGTTATCAAAACCTAAATTGTCATAAATTTTTCCTTAATAGGGTGCACATCAAGTTTTACCAAATTCTGTCAATTCATCATCCTAATCTTTCCAAAGCTCCCTTCCCAGTCCTCCTGTCTGTTTTCATATTGGCTGTTGATTTTTCTCAAACCTCTTCCCGTCCTTATAGGATATCTTCTAACTTTTCCATAGAGTAGCCTTTCTCATAAGTATATCTTCATTCATGTGGCATGAATGTGGCTTTCATTTGACTACCAGTGTTTCCCAAACTTTTGACATATGTGCACCTCTTCTATAATTTTCGTAACACTGAATACCTCTCACACTCATGAGAACGTAGAATTAGGCGCAGCTAAGCACGGTGCAGTGCATATCCCCACCAAACTCCAGTGCAACGCGTACCCCCACCAAACTCTTCCCCTACCCCTGGGGGTACACGTACCACATTTTGGGAAACACTGGCGATAACATCTAAACTTCTTAGCATTTTAACTTGGTACTTAATGATCTGGCCAGCAACTGCCCAGCTACTTTTATTTCTACTTGTGCTCTAGAAATGCTAAACTATTTGTAGTTCCACAAACAGATCATGATCGCATTTCATTGCTTTGCACATACTATTCATTCTCCTGCAGCATTTTTACTACTCTTATCCATTTGGCAAGGAACTCTAAATCATATCTTTGTGCAAATGTCATCTCTTTGATGAGGCCGTCCTTTAATCCCATGGTAGACATAATGTCTTCTTTGTAATTATTGTACATTTTTTTTTTTTTACCATTTTCACTGTTTTATCATTTCTAGCATCATAATTCAGTATGTATCCCTTTTAACTGTGTGCTTTAGAAAAACTATGCCTTTTCATCTTTATATGCTTAGTGCTAAACATGGTGTCTGGCATGTAGTTTATATGTAACTAGAGGCCTGATGCACGAAGATTTGTGTAAGAATGGGCCTTCCTTCCCCTGGCTGCTGGCACTGCCTTTGCTCCAGCCTGGAGCTGCCTTTCGGCCTTCCCATGCTGCCCAGAGGCCCTGAGTGGCTGTGGTGGTGTGGCCCCGCCCCCGGCCGCTCAGTGCCTGTGTATGCAAATTAACCCACCAGCTTTGTTGGGTTAATTTGCATACTCACTCCTGATTGGCTGGTGGGCGTCACAAAGATACAATTTGCATCTTCCTTTTTTATTAGTGTAGATACATTGAATGAAAGAAAAGATAATTTATTTATGGTTCACTCAAAAGAAATTGTAAACTATTCTTCACTGATGGAACATCCATCTTTTTCTCACCTCATTTTTGTTTTGTTTTTATATAGGCCTTCAGTCATATTAGGAGTAACCAACCCCTTTTTTGCAAAAACACTTCAGCACTGGCCACACATTATTCGAATAGGAGACCTTAAACCAGCAGGTAAAGTATGAACTCGGTGTTCTGCTTTTTAATGTATAATGTGGCTGAGCAGGTTTATTTCTTCCTCTTTGTTTTTACTTTTTGGTTACTTTTTAATTATGCTGATGGCAGTCTTCTTTGAGGCAATCTGAATAAGGAGAAGAGCATAACTTCTCAGTAAAATATGCAGGTGTAACCATCATTCCTCCTACCAAAAAAGCGTACTTAGAGTTATAAACATGGAATGAATGATAGCAAAATGAAACCTTAAAAACAAGCTACTTTTTATAAATAGCCCAATTAAAAAGGGATTTCCAAAAAGGGATTTTGACTAAGTATTATACATTTCTGTAATACTGATATTGATAAAAGAAGTAATCAAAAGGTTGTGCTTTCCTTAAGAAAATAAGATATATAAACCTTGCTCATGGTAGCTTTTTCTTTTTTAAATAAGATAACAAATCCACTTTTACTTGTTTTATTTTCAATAAATTTAAACTCTCACGGAGTACAGCATTATATGGATTCTGTGTCCAGTGGCCTTAGCAAGAAGATTGCTTCCAAATTTGGCATGAACCATGCCACTATTTCCATAAGCATGAGTTACCTTTCCCCAGATTACTCAGTTTGCCACCAGAGTCACATGTTGTTCTTGGTTTTGTACATGTAAACATATCTCTTGCCCAGATAGAATTCAGTTTCATTTTGAGCATAAACACCTTTAATTTTAAGAAAACGGCATGCTCACTCTGGTTCCAGAGAGCCTACTTATATCCAGCAGTCATGGCCTTGGAACACAGCCTTCCACACATACTTGTTGTTTAGAAGTCCTGTTCCCAGCAGGCCTCCACCAGCTCCAACATGGTGGGAAGAGCCGGGGTAGCTGTTTCAAAAGTGTTTTTAAATGAATACATGAATTCTGCAGTTGGAAGTTTTATACATCTAGATAATGATAACCTCTTACATTTCTCACTGGACATTCCTGAATTTTTCATTTTGTTATGATATTTTGACAGCTAATATTATTGCTCATTGCAGATAAAGATCTGAGAAATCTCTTCAGGCAGGTAAATTTGCCATTTAAAAGACCTAGGACCAAGGGAGAGGAAGGAAAGGCTAGAGAAAGGAAAAGAGAAAGAAAGCCTGTTCATGTGCATATGACACTTTTAAGTGTTTATCTTGAGGTATTTTTCTGCCAGGTAAAAGGGTGGTTTAGATTGTAGCTTCTCTAGACCTCAAGGCTAGAACCCAATGCATATGCTGCAGGAATTGTTTGTTCACAGCAGCCCTGCTCAGGAGTCCTGTTCACCTTTGAATCAGACCTGGGGTTGTGGCATACGCTATCACCACCTGGTGGCAGTGTAAGTTCCTACAATGCAAAAGCAGAGGTGTGTGTAGGGGGGATAGGGGAACCTTTAAATTCTTCTGTATTCTAATTTAGGAGTTACTTTAATTCCATTTACTCTTAAAGGGTATTTTATGTGTATTGGCACATAAATAATAAGGATACAAACAGTGCAAGAAAATAAAAAAATTAAATACTTAATACAAATATTTTGAATTACAAGTTGAGTGACAAAGGGAACATTTAAGTAATGATAGACATTAACAAAAGATCAAGTACCTATTGTATGTAATTTACACAAATTTTTTCTGTAATGTTGTAATCAATATTGTCTTTAGCCAGTTTTAAAGTACCAGTTATAAACTCTTAAATATATATATTTTGTTATTACTAATCCTTACCTGAGGATTTTTTTTTTTAAAGAGAGAGTGTGGATGGAAGGGGGATAGACAAAGAGAGAAATACCTATGTGAGAGAGACATATCAATTGGTTGCCTTCTGCATATGTCCCAACATGTGCCAGGGATGGAGCCTGCAACTGAAGTATGTGCTCTTGATTGGAATTGAACCCATGACCCTGCAGTCCATCTGCTGATAGTCTAGCCACTGAGCCAACTCAGCTAGGGCAAACTTTTTAATATTAATTGATTTTAGGAAGAATACATTAGCTACAATATCCCTGACTAAGTAATAGTCAGCAGAGTATTAATCTTATAAAATTCCACTTTTGTGATGTGAAATTTGAATAATTCTAAGAATCTTTCTAATATATCTTTCAGGTGAAATTCCTAAACAGGTTAAAGTGAAAAAATTGAAGAACCTGAAGACTCTGGATTCTAAACCTGGTATTAACTTTTATTAATTTAAAAATATATACATATTGGGCTCTTGTTAAAAAAATAAAAACTTACTGCTTACCTTGTTTTCTTCTTAGGAGTTTATACGTCTTATAAGCCATATCTAAATAGAGATGAAGAGATCATAAAGCAATTACAGAAGGTAATTATTTGCTCATATTACTAATTTAAATTTCTTTATTCAGTTATACAATATATAACTAGGCAATTTGTGCTTTATATATATATATAACTAGAGGACTGGTGCACAAAATTCGTGCACTGGAGGGCGGGGTGCCTCAGCCCGGCCTGCACCCTCTGTCAGTCTGAGAACTCTCACTTCTTACTGCCCACCTACTTAATGCTCCTTAGCGTTGCCTGGAGGTGGGAGAGGCTCCCACCACCACTGCTGCAAGCCCAGATTCTGGCTGAGCGACCCTCCCCCTGTGGGAGTGCACTGACCACCAGGAGCAGCTCCTGCATTGAGCGTCTGCCCCCTGGTGGTCAACAGGTCAATCTGCCCTAATGGTTGCTTAGGTTTTTATTATATAGATATTGTGAAATGAGGTCTCTCTATTGAATCAATGCTTCCTAAAAATCAGGAGACTATAGTAGCAGCAACTATGGCAACGTACAACTACAAATCAGTGCCAGATACTTGGAAGTTATAGTGAAAAAGTGGACTGTGCCATGAGGTAGCTTAGCATCTAATGCAGCATAGTTAACCTTTTTTAGAAAATATAAATAGTATTGATACAGCAGTTATGAAATAAATACAGTCTTTGTTATGAACTGGTATTTTTAAGTATGGTGAATAGTTCATATTTTTTTTGTAAGGCTTTTTTTCACAGTATATTGTATAATAAATTTTAGATGAAATTACTTCAGGATGAAGTTATAGGTTTTTTGTTTTGTTTTTTAAAGGATTATGGCGTATCTTTTTTTAATATACATATTTTTTATTAATCTTTTACAGAGAGGAAGAGAGAGGGATAGAGAGAAACATCGATGATAGAGAAACATCGATTAGTTACCTCCTGCACACCCCCCACTGGGGATCTAGGGTTTGTTTTATATCAAGTTATATATATATATATATATACATATATATATATATATACACACACACACACACACACACACACACACACATATATATATATATATATATATATATACACACACACACACACACACACACACACACACACACACACTTTAGCAGGCGTCTTCAAACTATGGCCCGCGGGCCACATGCGGCCCGCCAGGTTTTTTGGGCAGTGAGCGCAGCCGAGGTCTTACAGTAGGAATTAGTAGTTCATATAGTCCGGCCCTCCAGCTCTCTGAGGGACCGTGATCTGGCCCCCACTTTAAAAAGTTTGAGGACCCCTGCTTTAGAGGTCCAGTGCACAAATTCATACACGGTTGGAGTCTAGCTAGTCCACCTTGATGGGGGCCCATTGAGCTGGGTTGGTGGAGGCAGTTGTTGCTTGCCAGCCCTGCCCCTGATTGGGGTAACTGGGGGCCAACTGGGGGCAGGGCCAGCCAGGGGGAGGGGCCGCAGGTGGTTGGCCGGCTGGCCCTACCCCCAATTTGGGTGTTGGGGGACAATCTGGGGCTGGGCAGGCGGGGGGAGGGGTGATAAGGGCCCAGGTCAGGCCAGTTGGCTGCTGCAGCGCACATTATAGCCACTGGTCATTTTGGTAGTTCTGTTCCAGTTGCTGGGCTTTTATATATTTAGATACCATATATGCGTATATTTTTTCATGTATCAGTTGAACTCTATAATTATCCATTATTTTATATTCTCTGATACTGTACCACACTATAGGTTCTTATTATTTTCTCTTTTAAGGGTGTTCAACAGAAACGTCCTTCTGAGGCTCAAAGCGTTATTCTGCGACGTTATTTCTTGGAGTTGACACAAAGCTTCATCATTCCATTAGTAAGTTAATATATACATTTGCTTAATTTAATGATTTGTTGAAGAGGATATGAATGTTTTTCCCATCCACCAAAACTTTATCTAAAAGTGTATGTTTTGTCTGCTCATGTGTTTAGTGATGAAAAATAGAGCCCTTGGTGGAAGGGAGTTATGGGGGGAAAAAGAATGACATCTGTAATAATCTCAATAAAGAATATTAAAAATAAAAAATAGAGCCCTTTAGATGCAAGTAAATAACATCCACAGAAAAGCTACTTATATCTGACAAAATAGATTTCAAGATAATGAAAGACAAAGACAGACACTTTATAATGATAAAGGGGACTCTACATCAAGAAAACATAATATATACCCCCAACCAGGGAGCACCAAAATATTTAAAACAACTCCTCACAGAACTAAAGGAAGAAACAGATCAAAACACAATTATAGATGGGGATCTTAATTTTCCACTGAAAGCTCTAGACAGATCAACCAAACAGAAAATCAATAAAGAAATATCAGCCTTGCCAAAACCAGTTTGGTTCAGTGGATAGAGCGTTGGCCTATGGACTGAAAGGTCCCAGGTTTGATTCTGGTCAAGGGCATGTACCTTGGTTGCGGGCATGTCCCCAGTGGGGGATGGGTAGGAGACAGCTGATCGATGTTTCTCTCTCATCGATATTTCTAACTTTCTATCCCTCTCCCTTCCTCTTTGTTAAATATCAATAAAATATATTTTTAAAAAGGAAGGAAGGAAGGAAGGAAGGAAGGAAGGAAGGAAGGAAGGAAGGAAGGAAGGAAGAGAAAGGAAGAAATAAATAAATATAGGTCTTAAATGAAACACTAGATTAATTGGATATATCGATATTGACATTTACAGAACCTTTAATCCTAGGACATCAGAATCTACATTCTTCTCCAATGTACATGGACTATTCTCAAGGATAGTCCATATGTTGGATCATAAAACTAGCATCAACAAATTTAAGGAGATTGAAATTATATCAAGCATATTCTTTGACCATGATGTCTTGAAATTAGAAATACCAGTTAACTGTGAAAAGGAAGTAAAGAAAACTAAAAATTCATGGAGTTTAAACAACATACTAAAGAAAAGATGAGATCAAAAGATATATAGACAAATGAGAATGACATTACAACATGTCAAAACTTCTGGGATGAAGCAAAAGTAGTAATAAGAGGGAAGTTTATATTGTTAGAAGCATTTCTCAAGAAATAAGAAAAATCTTAAACAACCTAACATCATATCTTAAAGAACTAGAAAAAGAAGAACAAAGCAACCCAAAGTCAGCAGAAGAAAGGAAATAATAAAAATTAGAACAGAATTGAATGAAATAGAGTACAAAAAGACTATGCAAAAATTAGTAAAATAAAGAGCTGATTCTTTGAAGATTAATTAAATTGACAATCCCCTGGCTAAACTCACTAAGGAAAAAAAGAAAAAGACCCATATAAACAAAATGAGAAACTAGAGAGAAGTCAGTATACAGACATCATATATATACAAAAGATCATACTAGAATATTATGAAAGAGTATATGCCACCAAATTCAATAACTTAAAAGAAATGGATACCTTCCTAGAATTATATAACCTTCCTAGACTAAATTATGAAGAATAATTGGAAAATCTAAATAGACCAATCAGTAGTGAGGAAACTGAAACAACCATAAAAAAGCCTCCCCAAAAAAGTCCATGACCAGATGACTTCACCAGTGAATTCTACCAAACATTCAAAGATTTAAAAGCTATCCTTCTCTGCCAAAATCGGTTTGGCTCAGTGGATAGAGCGTCGATCTGCGTGCTGAAAGGTCCCAGGTTCAATTCCAGTCAAGAGCATGTACCTTGGTTGCGGGCACATCCCCGATAGGGGGTGTGCAAAAGGCAGCTGATTGATGATTCTCTCTCATCGATGTTTCTGATTCTCTATCCTTCTTTCTTCCTCTCTGTAAAAGATCAATAAAATATATATATATTTTTAAAAACTCTTAAAAAATAAATAAGTAAAAGCTATCCTTCTCAAACTCTTCTAAAAAATTGAAGAAGCATTATTTCCTAACACATTCTGTGAGACCACTATGATCCTGGTATCAAAACCTGGCAAAGATAACAAAAAAAATAAAAATACAGACCAATATCTTTGATGAACACAAATGCAACAATTTTAAACAAAATACTAGCAAATCGAATATAATACATCTAAAAAATAATGTATCACCATTAAGTGGAGTTCATTTCAGGGGCTCAAAGATGGTTCAGCATAATGCAAATCTATCAGTGTAATACACCACATTAACAAAAGGAATGATAAATGTCATATGATCTTATCAATAGATGCAGAAAAAGCATTTGATGAGATATAACATCCATTTATGATTAAAACACTAAATATAGGAATAGAAGGAAAGTACCTCAATATTATAAAGGCCATCTATGATAAATCCTCAGCTAATAACATACTCAATGGTGAAAAACTGAAAGCTTTTCCTCTAAGAACAGGAATAAGACAAGGATGTCCATTCTCACCACTCCTTATTTAACATATTGCTGGAAATCCTAGCCAGAGCAGTAAGGCAAGAGAGAAAAATAAAAGGCATTCAAATAGGGAAGGAAGAAGTCAAGCTGTCACTCTTTGCAGACAACATGATTCTGTAGGTAGAATACCCTGAAGACTCCACCAAAAAACTATTTGAAACGATAAATAGTCAAGTTGTAAAGTACAAAATCAATGTGCAAAAATCCATTGCCACCCTCTCACAATCCAGGACTTCTGATTTTTTTTACAGAGAGGAGAGAGAGGGATAGAGAGTTAGAAACATCAATGAGAGAGAATCATCGATCAGCTCCTCTTGCATAACCCTTACTGGGGATGTGCCCGTAACCAAGGTACATGCCCTTGACCAGAATTGAATCTGGGACCTTTCAGTCTTCAGGCCAATGTTCCATCCACTGAGCCAAACCAATTTCAGCTAGCATATTACTTTCTTATTGGCTGTGGGCACTGCCATCTTTTAGGGCAGGGCATTCAATTAGCATATTGCATCCTTATTGACTATCAATATACCAAGATGTGGGTTTGATCCCCAATCAGGGCACATATAAGAAGCAACCAATAAATGCATAAACAACAAATCAATGTTGCCCTTACCCTCTCTTCCTCTCTCTAAAATCTATCAATAAAAAGTGTTTTTATTTTTTTTAAGCGTAGTTCCTTGGATTATCTAAAATTTATATTTTTATTGAAAGTCTGACTTCTTAATTCATTCTGAACTTTATATTCTACTATGGGGAATAATGATGGTGTTGATAACCAGATCATATGTTCAAAATCTTGGAAACCTATTTCTTTTAAGTTGGTCTATTTAATAAACGTTTGTAATGACTCTCTGGAACAACTAACTTGATTGATGTTTTTTTATTGGTTTTAGGAAAGATATGTGGCAAGCTTAATGCCTTTGCAGAAAAGTATTTCTCCATGGAAGGTATAAATATATTAAATTAAATTCCTATTTGAGTTCTCTAACTATAATTAACTTCTTGGAACATAGCACTTTTAATTTTTAAATATAGTATGCCCCCCCTTTTTTTTTTATAGAGTCCACCCCAATTAAGACAATTCCTTCCAGAAGAATTTATGAAAACACTTGAGAAAACAGGACCTCAGTTGACCTCTAGAATAAAAGGCGATTGGATTGGACTTTACCGGTTAGTCTTTTTTACCCATCTGTACAGTTTTGTTTTTGAGAAGAAAAAACAAAAAGCTGGACTTGAATTTATATTCTTTTATTAAAAGTTAAATTGTTTCACATGGTTCTTCCAGCTATAGGTAGGAAAAGTATTGAAAGAGGAAGTAAGTCATAATCAAACTTTGCTGTTTTAAATTTTATTTTTATAGGCATTTCCTAAAATCACCAAATTTTGATGGTTGGTTTAAGACCCGACGGAAGGAAATGACCCAGAAATTGGAGGCACTCCATCTAGAAGCTCTTTGTAAAGAGGTTAGAGAACTGCATGTTTGTGTGATATTAACATTTATTGGGGGGAAAAAAAGATAAAGTTATCCTTAGAAGCTAGGAGGATATAACTAGTAATAGCTAACTCTTGTGCTATATATGCCAAGGAATGTATAAGGTGCTCTATGTGGAAAATCTTAATTTTCACAACACTTCGTTGAAGTAGGTGTGTTATGATCTGCATTATGGGACACCTGAGGGTTATTACGTTAAGTGACTTGCTTCTGATCACATTACTGTTAAGTAGGGGAGTTAGCAGTGAGCCAAAATCCACTTGCATTGGCTCATAAGAGCTGACTGTACATCTCTTCCGTGTTCTGCATTCAGTGATCTCAGGTTAGTAGTTTAAAATTGACTACAGTGGAAGTATTATACCACAGAAATTGGCAAATGCTACAAACCCTTTTTTTTTTTGGTTGTTAAATATTTTCCAGCATACCACTGGATGGAGTCAGGATCCAAATTTTTTCCAGCATGCCTTTTTAACCTCTTGCAGTTACTATTAATATTTTCCCCTATATTTGGACTGACTTTATATTCTATAATATATTACCATACTATTTTAAATTAAGTGAAAAGACATAGGATAGTCTAATTCTCATTTGTATTTAGTTTGAGGTGGGCTAGCCTCAGTGTTAACTTTCTAATCATAAACTCACAGTGATTGTGATTTTAAGAGGAGTATGATGAAGACAACCATAAATAAGTCCAGTAAGAGCTTATTTGAAGATGTGAAGTTTACATTCAGTATTATATTCATGTTCACAGTTTTCTTCACTTTTTAGCCAATGTTCTTTATAAATTAAAATCTTCACTATTAGTGGGGGTAGGTAGTACTGATTGTACTTTGAATTGCACTTTTGTTTTTTATGATTGATCTAAAAGGGCTGCCTTAGAAAGAATGTTCTTACATTTTATTTTACTGACAGATATTCAATAATTGTTCTGGCTAATATTGAAAATTATTTAATTAACATTGTTAGAATATCATGTACAGAATTATTTTTGTGCTGTCATGCTGTATCTGGGATAAATACCCTGTTCTCTTTTTTGTTTCTGTCCTTCTCAGGAGTTTTATCTTTTGAAATAGTGTGGTTTGAGGATAATTTTGAGCACTTAACTGAAATAGGATTTGTTTGTTTTTCTAGGATTTACTTCTCTGGACCCAGAAACACACAGAAGTAGAAACAGTAGACCTTGTATTGAAGCTAAAAAGTAAGCTGGTATGTAGCCGAAACAGCCAAAGATCTGTGAAGATGTTTTCTTCATATTTGAGGTGACAGTCCATGATGTGACACAGATGTAACCTTTTTATTTATTTTGAATTTTTAATTTATTTTATTTATTTACATCATCTTGTTGTTCCACTTATTTATGCTTCCATTGGCTCATTCTTTTAAATATTTCCCCCATATGTTTTTATTGAATTCAGAGAGAGGAAGGAAGAGGGAAAGAGAGATAGAAATATCAATAACGAGAGAGAATCATCCATTGGTTGCCTCCTGCACACCCCCTCCTGGGAATCGAGCCCACAACCTAGGCATGTGCTTTGACCCAGAATCGAACTGTGACTTCCTGGTTTATGAGTAGACAATTAACCACTGAGCAACACCAGCCAGGCCATTGGTACATTCTTGAAGATGCCCTGCTTGGAGATTGAACTTTTATGTATCGGGATGATGCTCTAACCAACTGAACTGCCTGGTTAGAGCACAGACGTTATCTTTTTAAATGAGAGGACTTGAGATTGATAGTAGACTTGATTGAAAATACTTGATATCTGAAGCAGATCATAATGATATCCTTCTGCCTAAGATGGTTCTCTCTCATCTTTGATGTTTCTATCTCTCCCTCTCCCTTCCTCTCTGTGAAATCAATAAAAACATATGGGGAAAAAATTTTAAAAGAATCCACCAGTGAAAGCATAAATAAGTGGAACAACATATTGCTGCTTCTCTAAAGTAAATAAATAAAATAAATTAATAGAAAATAAATAAAAAGGTTACATCTGGGTCACATCATGGACCGTCACCTATATTTTAAAAGTATTTACATGGAGTCTAATGTGCGCTACAAAATATTGTCACTTATATTAATACCACATGATAGGTGTTACGTATTATCAATTTACATGGAAGTTTTTTTATTAAACTCAAACAATATATTGTTTAAATGGCATGTTCTTTTTTTTCACAGTTTCTGTAAATTCTGATTGAAGTGTCCAAATCATTAGACTATTAACAATGTTTATTTAGAAAACATAATGTATTAATACAGACTCAGAGGATAATTTAAATGCTTCCAAATTTTCTTGTACAGTTGCAGGCTGATCGAGAGCACTTACCTGTGAAACCTGAAACTATGGAAAAGTTACGGGGACACATAGACGCAATTATCTTAGCATTGCCAGAGGACCTACAAAGCATCCTGCTCAAAACAAGCATGACGTGATATTTGCCAGGGTTTTCCAGCCAGAAAGGACTGTGTGTGCATCAGGAAGCATACTGACATTTCACCTGGACGCACAAAGGAGATCTGGAGAAGAAAAGAGCTGTAATGCTAGCTACAGGGTAGAAAGACTATACTGACTTTTTTAGTGCATTATTTTAAAAAATGGCTATCTGTGGTGGTTCCACTTTAATACTGAAACGCCGAAATGCATTTCTATATTTTAAATCATGTTTTAAAGTGCTCTTATGAGAGACCTGTGGGACCATCAGTATAAGTGATTCTAAACTGCAGTGCTGGCATTGCAGATTTTTTTTTAAATTGGTGCTGTTTTGCCCAATCATGTTAAAACTCAGGGGGATATAAAAATAACATTTACACTGGTTACCTTCTTAAGAAGGCAAGGACTGAACTGTCTGACTGTAGTTAGAAGTAACTAATGCTTTTGTAGTGCCTTCCATTGACGTACATATTTCACAAAATCTGGCTGCTAGTCTTGAAGCTTTTTCTTAATTATGATATGTAATTATATAAGACATACTTTTGCATAATAATTGCTTAAAAACATGTTTTTGACTCCCATCATGTTTAGTAGTGGCATGGTATCCTTCTTCCTCCCCCTCCCCAATGGTCATGACATTTCATTATTTTCTATACTATTTTCAAATTTAATTTTATTAGTTTCTACAAAGGCAAGAAGGCATCTAATATTAATTATGGAAGAGTTAATTTCCTCTTACCCTTTACTAATTGGTTTCTGTTTAAGTTAATTAGCTTGGATGTTTTTCAAAAACATTCTAATAATAAATCTCATAATCAGCTATTTTTTTGAACTGAGCTATTCTTATTTCAAAGGCATTAATAAACCTTTTATGTGGTAGTTATTTGAGTCACTATAAGATTGATTTTTCAGCATTATTTGTTTGTTAGGGTTCCCTCCCCTTGAATTTATATTTCTCGGAACACTTTCTCTACTGTGTTTGACATGGGAACTTTGCCTGAATCACTGTTACAGCTATTTTGTAGTTTGTTTCTGTTCTGTTTTGTTTTTACTACCTTGCCAAAAACAGAAGATCATAGTTTGGTTTATTCTACCAAAGTTGTTTGGTTTATGTTTGAATAGGAGTGTCCTGCAAAAGCCAGTATTTTAAGGCACACATGACATAGCACATATGTAAATAGCTGCATCTTGAATTACCGTCTAAGTATCCAAACTTGTTTGTAAAAGAAATGGCTTTGGAAGCTATCCTTTTCTGTTAATATAACTACTAAGTGCACTCTCTATCCAAGGAAGGCTCTTTGTGTTTGTAACTGTGGTCTTATACAGTCTCTCAAAGCATACCTCAAAGTCATAGAGAGAATATGGCATTTGAAAAAAATCATTTGCCTCAGATCATATGAGTTATTTTGTGAAACAATAATTATCCTTATGGAAAAGACAACTGCTTTTAAATTTCATATCTTTCTGGGAACCTTATTTAGGTATAAATGGTCATCTTATTTTTCAAAAGGTGTATTTTAATAATCTCACAATTTATATGCAGTGTGTGACTAGAATTTGAAAGTTGTTAGTGTCATATCAAGGATCTTTTAAATTATACCACTACAGATGTATCATTTCAAGTTTATTTTGCATAGCTAAAGAGTATCAAAGGCTGCCAATTAGCATAATAATTATCTTTATATTTACTGTATTTAACTAAAACCGAACAAATGTTGAAAATCCTATGATACATAACCTGGTTTATCTATTAATTTCGAATTACTTGTAAAAAATAATTTAAAATTTCATTGGGAACCTGAGAAAGACTGACTGATCACTTCATTTTTTGTGTGGTTTTCAGAGTTGTTTCCCCACCCTTCCCCCCCTTTTTTTGGGAGACATTGCTAAGATCTAAAATCTGCCATTTAATGTTTATCTCCACCAGCATCAGAAGAAATCCCTGCTTCAGGGTGTTAAGTAATGCCTAGTGCCTTCTGTTTTCAGTGATAAAGATATTTTGTGAAGGCATTTTTGGTCATTACTCAAAACTGAATTAAAGGCCTTTGATTTTAAAATACTTGAATATCTTGTGTTATTTCTGAGTAAGGTTGGAATGCTTGAAAAAATGCACTGTAAATGAAATGTGTATTATGTGGTTCCTTTTACATTCTAAAGTACTTGTTTAAATTCAAATGAAAACCTTCTTCTTGTTCACTTTACTATGAACAGGTGAATAGTCCAGTTTAATAATATTGTAGATAGATCAACTAAGTGATCTCATAGTCTTCTTATCAATGTATTGATTATGAAATGTCCTGATGAAAAATGTTTAGCTTAATAATCTAGGTATTGTTAGATTGTCCTTTGTCACCTTTTCTAACTTTAAATCTCAAATTACTTTTATTTCTTCCTTTCTAAAAGTGGCAAGTTATAATACAGTTCTTTGGATTTTAATTTATTTATTAAGTTAATAAGTGTGGCTCAGCAGTTGAGCATTGACCCAAGTACTAGGAGGTTGCCAGTTTAATTCCCAGTCAGGGCACATGCCCAGGTTGCAGGCTCGATCACCAGTGGGGGTTTTGCAGGAGACAGCCAAATGATGATGCTCCTCTTTCATCAGTATTTCTATGTCTCTGTCCTTCTCCCTTCCTTTCTCTCTAAAAATCACTAAAAACATTTTGAAATAATAATTAAAAATATATTGGATATCACTCCTTTTTAAAGTTACTGGGTAATATCCTTCAAATGATACTATAAAATGTTTTAGTATATTTAAAAGATATCATTAAAATATTGTCCTTTTATTTTTTCTTTCTCATACCAATTCATTTGTTTTTATACACCCAAATTTTACTAACTTGCAAAGATTAGTCCTCTAAAAACAGATAATTGAGTAAGACAGAAAGCTCTAAGTATGGATAAATGTTATTTAAAAAATAAAATATATTCAATAATGACTAAATTTTGAGTTATTTGATAATGCTTCATATATCTAAAATATGTTTATATGCCATTTACAACTTGGTTGAATTGTGGTATTATACAAAAAGAAATCAGCACTTGTTAATAAAAGAAAATCTAGGAAAATTTTCTAATTACAATTTTCTGTTTGTTTGAAATAGATACTAGTTATTTGATACAAGATACAGAATCATGATTTCTAAAATTTTCTTTTAAAAAATATTTTTATTCATTTCAGAGAAGGGAGAGGGAGAGAGAGATATAGAAGCATCAGTGATAAGAAGAATCATTGATTGGCTGCATCTTGCATGTCCCTCACTGGGAATCAATCAAGCCTGCAACCTGGGTATGTGCACTGACCAGGAATTGAACCGTGGCCTCCTGGTTCATAGGTGGACATTGAACCGCTGAGCCATGCTGGTTGGGCATGATTCCTAAAATTTAACCAATTTTAGAAAAGCAACTTTTAACTTGACGATTGGTTAATGAAATAGGTTTATGTTTATTTTGCAGTAATAACATTGCCTATCACAAGGGCTTCTTAAGGTATACACAAATGTTGAGGGGGAAAAAAGATGGCAGTAGAATTCTAATGTATCCTATTTCCAAGTGTTATTACTTTGCTTTGAACACCACCAACCTTTCTCTGCTACCCATTACTTGAATGACTTTCTCCAAATTAAGGTTAGTGTTGTCTAGTAATCATAGGTTTCATTCCATTTTACTAGCGTCATTACTAGGCTTGGGTTCTTTTGTTTATTGCCTTCTCATTTATTTTTTTATCATACCATTTCAGCTTAGCCATTAGAAAGCTAAACTCTGTGAATCCTTCATCTTATTTCCTGTCTCATGTTTTTTCATAGCCACCAGTCTGAATACATTCTACCTAATAAAGAGGGAATATGCTAATTGACTACCCTGCCCTCAAAGATGGCGGTACCCACAGCCAATAAGGAGGGGATATGCTAATTGCTGCCACACCCTCAAAAATGGTGGCACCCACAGGCATAAGATGGCAGTGCCTTGTCCCCTCAGCCGGCTGGCGCGCCTGCCTCCAGAGTCCCCCAGTTCCCTCAGCCCTCCAGCCGCCCAGGGCCGCCTGAGGCTCAGGTAACCAGGGCTAGCCGAGGCTTGTGTTGCCTGCAGTGGCAGCAGCAGAGGTGTGATGGGGCATCACGTTCCCCTGATTGCTGGGTCGCCTCCTGCCCCTCAGAATTCCCAGACTATGAGAGGGGACAGGTCAGGCTGAGAGACCCCTCTCAGTTGATATTTATACTGATCTTTTTTATTGCATTATTTCTCACTAAGTTTTGTTTTAGTGTCATGCCATAAATTCTGATGTTTTATATTTCTTTTCATTCAGTTCAGAATACCTTATTTCCTTTTGGATTTCCTTGATCCATGGATTATTTAGAAATGTTAATTACTTATCCAAATAGTTGTATATCTTCTAATTAAATTTTTTTAAATTTTATTTTTGATTTCAAAGAGGAAGGGAGAGAGAAAGAGAGAAACACCAATGATGAGAGAGAATCATTGATCAGATGCCTCCTACATGCCATCCACTGGGGATCAAGCCCACAAACCCAGGCATGTGCCCTGACTAGGAACTGAACCATGCATGACCTCTTAGTTCATAGGTCGATGCTCACCCACTGAGCCACACCAGCCAGGTGCCAAAATTTTTTTGTTACTGATTTCTAATTTTATTACACGGTGGCTTGAGAACATACTTATTATGATTTGAATCCTTGTAACTTTATAAAGATTTGTTTTATGGCCCAGGATATGGTTTATCTTGGTAAATGTTCTGGGTACACTTGTGAATAATGTATATTTTGCTGTTGTTGGGTGGAATATTTTTTAAAGGTTAGGTCAAGTTTGTTTATGTCCTTGCTGTTTTCTTTTTTTTTTTTTTAATATTTTTTTTTTTTATTATTTCAGAGAGGAATGGAGAGGGAAAGATAGAAACATCAGTGATGAGAGGAAATCATTGATTGGCTGTCTCCTGCATGCCCCCTACTGGGGATCAAGCCCATAACCCGGGCTTTGTGCCCTTGACCAGAATCAAACCCGGGATCCTTCAGTCTGCAGGCTGACACTCTATTCACTGTGCCAAACTGACTAGGGCTGCCCTTGCTGATTTTCTGCCTACTTGTTCTACAATATAATAGTTAGAGGTTAGTAAAATCTTTTGATTATAATTGTAGATTTGTATATACTTTGTTCTGAAATCTACGTGGTGTGATATTAATAGAACTCCAGCTTTCTTTTGACTAGTGTTAGCATGGCATAGCTTTTTCATCACTTTATTCTTAACCTATTTGTGTCTTTATATTTAAAATTTTTTCTTGTAGGTAACATAGTTCTTGCTTTCTTAACCAATCAGGCAAAATTTGCTTTTTAATTTACACCATTTACAATGAATATGATTAATATGGTTAGATTTGAATCTATTATCTTGCTATGTTTTCTGTTTGTCCTATCTTATGTTTATTTCCCTTTTCCTTCTTATCTGATTTATTTTGAACCAATAGAATATTTTTATGATGTCATGTCTTCTTTGTGAGATTACTAGGTATAATACTTCATTATTTTAAGGTTTGTAGTACAATATACATTTTTAACTTACCGGATTACCTCCAGTGATATTATGCCATTTAATGTATAGAATAAGAATGTACAATAGTATACTTTTTCTTTGCAGACTTTATATTATTGTTCATGAGTTTTACATGTTATAAATTCCATAATACATTATTTTTGTTTAATTTTTTAAAGTTTTAAATAGTAAGAAAAATTCTTGCATATACATTCTTATATTGAACCTTTTCAGTGTTTTTATTTCTCTGCAAAGATCAGTATGGTATAATTTTCCTTAGAGCTGAAGAACTTCATTTAAACATATTTTGTAGTTGAGATTTGCTGACAATGCATTCTTTCAACTTTTGTGGTCTGAAAATATCTTTATTTTGCCTTCTTTTTCAAATGTGTTTTTGCTGGATATAGATTTCTAGGCTGTCCCCCTTTTTCAGTATTTTAGAATGTTGCTCCACTGTCTTTTTACTTGTATATTTCCAGGAAGAAGTATGTCATATTATCTTGGTTTCTGGGTAGTTAGTTAATAAGTCTGTTTTCCTCTGGCTCTTTTAAGATTTTTTTTAATCACTAATTTTGAGTTATTAAATAATAATATGCTTTGGTATAGTTTTATTCATGTTTCTTGGGCTTTTAACTCACTGGGTTTCTTGATCTTGGATATACAGTTTTATAGTTGTCATTAAAGTTGGAAATTTTTTGGCCATTATTTTTTCAGCTATTTTTTCTGTCCTCTGTCCAACCCTTCTTTCAGTTACTCATGTATTAGACTGCTTGAAGTCCTACAGCTCACTGATGCTTTTCCTGTTTCTTATTTACTCTTTTTATTAACTTTTGGAGAGTTTCTATTGCTGTGCCTTTAAGTTCATTTATCTTTCCTCCCGTATTGTCTAGTCTGCCATTAATCCCATCTGTTATTTGTTCTCTCAGACATTGTAGTTTTTATTTCCAAAAGCTCGGTTTGTGTTTATGTCTTCCATGTTTCTGCTTGAGATAATATCTGTGTCGGTTCTGAGTTGGTTTCCATGATTATCTCATTATTATGGGCCACGTGTTTCTGCCTCTTTGCATGCCTTATCTTAGGTTAGATGCCAGACTTTTACCTTATTGGGTGTTGGATATTTTTGCATTCTTATACATCTTTTTGAGCTTTGTTCTAGATTGCAGTTAATTTTTGTCAGGCCCAAAACAGCGCTCAGTCTAGAATTATTCTTCACTACTGAGGCAAGACCTTCTTGAGTACTTTGCCCACTGTCCCATGAATTGTGAGTTTTTTCAACCTGGCTGGTGGGAATAGGCATTGTTCCCAACCAAGCCTGGGCCCTGTTCCATTTGATCCTTTCTTATGGTTCTGGGCATACAGTTTCCTCATATGCATGAACTAATCAGTACTTTGCTGAATCTTTTAGGGGAACCCTCTGCAGATTTCTTTCTGTACAGGGGCTTTTTCTTTCTGTGCTCTTTGTAATTCTTTCCTAAAGTTTGGTTTCCCCAGACTGTCAGCTCAGAGTTTACCAAGCTCCCCCTCCGCTCCCTCTTTCTATGCTGTGGCCTAGGAAGATTCTCGGGACATTAAACAGGCAATCTCAGGCTAAGTGCTCAATGCATTGGTTTTCTGTCTTTAGGAATCATTGCCCTGTACTGCCTGGTGTTCACTGTCTTCAAAAACCATTGTTTCTGCCGGGACCGGTTTGGCTCAGTGGATAGAGTGTCAGCCTGCGGACTGAAAGGTCCCGGGTTCGATTCCGGTTAAGGGCATGTACCTTGGTTGCAGGCACATCCCCGGTAGGGGGTGTGCAAGAGGCAGCTGATCGATGACTCTCTCTCATCAGTGTTTCTGACTCTCTGTCCCTCTTTCTTCCTCTCTGTAAAAAATCAATAAAATATATATATATTTTAAATCATTGTTTCTTATATTTTATTTGTTTTGTTTTGTTTTCATTTTATGTGAGAAGGTAAATCTGGTCAGTGTAACTTGATCTTGACTATTGATAGAAGCAAAAAGTCCAGCAATCTGATTTTAACAAGCCCTCCACGTAATTCTGACACATGTTAAAGTTTAAGAACCATATAGATAAATAAATTTAATATTAGGTGATTACTCACTAACATTATAAATCATTTGCATGAAGACAGAATTATATGAGCCAGTAAATCTAATTTTTGGAGAAAAACACACACTTGTTTGTAAATCCTCTCATTCCTATGTTTCCCCCCCCCCTTTTTTTATTGCTTACGGTATTATATATCTTCCCATTGCCCACCCCATACCCTACTCCCTTACAGCCCTCACCCTCCAGTGTCTTACGTCCATTGGTTATGCTTATATGCATGCATACAAGTCCTTCAGTTGATTTATCTCCCCCCTCCCCAACCTTCCTGCTTAATTTGATAATCTGTTTGATGCTTTACTGCCTCTGTATCTATCTTTTTGTTCATCAGGTTATAATGTTTTTTTTTATTATCCATAAATGAGTAAGATCATGTGGTATTTTTCTTTCATTGATTTCTATATTTTGTAGCACTGAAAATGTCAAACATTTCAATTACTGTAAGACATTTCAAATATGTATACAGATAGAGATTTGGGCAAGGAGAGGAAGAATTTGTAAAATAACCTTATTTCATTAATGTTGCTATGGTACAAAGTGGTCTTTTAGCTTTACCCTATCTAATGATTTCTCTAGCCATGAAACTATTATAAATGTTAGATGGTAAATACAAATCTTACTAGAATTAGTGGCCTCAAGATATATTCTTCTCATAAAATCTTTCTGCTTTAAAGAATTCAGAAAAAGGAAAAAAAAGAGTACTAGTTCTTCTGGAAGCTAGGAATGTGATTGCTCTGAATCCTTCAAAGGAAACGAGTCGGGGAGTCATATTCTTTTAAATATATATTTTACTGATTTTTTACAGAGAGGAAGGGAGAGGGATAGAGTTAGAAACACTGATGAGAGAAAAACATTGATCAGCTGCCTCCTGCGCACCCCCCACTGAGGATGTGCCGGCAACCAAGGTACATGCCCTTGACCGGAATCGAACCTGGGACCTCCCAGTCCACAGGCCGATGCTCTATCCACAAGCCAAACCGGTTTTGACAAGGAGTTATATTCTTATTTTTAAAAAGTTGCCTGCCAGAAACTAAAACAGGTTAAGGGGGAATATTTTAAGTTAAGGAAGTAGGTGAATGTTGACTTAGTCAAGTCAGGCAGACTTTATACTCTTCCATGTTAGCAGTGTTTACCCAAATTATTAAAAAGCAAATAAAACACTCCTAGGAAAGATGAGGGCATAGATCCATCCACTTATACAGACTTTCCCACAATATCAAATGGAATAAAACTTTTAAAATAAAGAACTAGTAAAAGGCACTGAAACTAGGGCCAGGTCTTAACCTCATGGCAGAGGCTTAAGTGGCTGAGAAGTACCAGATTGGGCAAAATCAGAGACTCAGGGAATTCACATACCACCCCTCTCTTGAGACAGAAAATGGGTGAATAAGACTCTTCATAGAAGCACAGGTACTCTTTCACTATTGCAGGTAAATAACAATGTCCAGAGAACGTGAACTTTAAACAAGATCAGTGATGAGTTGTCAGAAGATGAGATAAAAATGGAGCTTACAGAGGTTAGGGTGGGGTGGGGAATAAGGGCAAAAATTACACTATTATACAACAAGTGGACTAGAAATAGCTGAGTAGTCCTTGCAGAGAACAAAGGAAATGGCATGGATTAAATTGTTTAGAGGATTAAATGGGATATAAGTACAATGCTTGGCAGATAGTAAGTGTTCAATAACATTGATTGTTGCTAGTAAATATTAGCATTATTTTAGAACACATACTCTCAAGTGCTTTGAAAATGTCAAAAGAAGTTATACAGTTTACTTAAGAAGCTGCCCAAGGTCTAATTTGAATGGGACATAAACAATCAACAAAGACACTACATTATTAAATTTAAAGGACTGGAACAAAAATATACAAAAGATGTGGTACATTTTCACAACGGAATACTATGCAGATATAAAAAAGAAGGATCTCTTACCCCTTGAGACAGCAGGGAGGGACCTGGAGAGTATGATGCTAAGTGAAATAAGCCAGTCAGAGAAAGACAAGTATCACATGATCTCACTTAATATGTGGAATCTGACAAAATAAACTGATGTATAAAATAGATCCAGAGACATGGAAACAGACTAACAAATCTCAGAGAGAAGGGGGTGGAGGAGCAGTGGGAAGAGATTAACCAAAGAATTTATATACATATATGCCTAACCCATGGAATCGACAATAGTATGGTAGAGGCTGGCTGTGTGTGTGTGTGAGGGAGGGATTAATGGATGGGAAAAAGGGAACATCTGTTATAGTTTCAACAGTAAAGATTTTAAAAATTGGATAAGAACATAATCCCTAGTGTAGTGTGTTATTTATGAGCACATTCTTTAACATAACATTTTCCTCAAATTTGTTAAGATTAAATGAAGTGTAGGACTTAGTACATGACAAGTGATTAATAAACAATAGCATTTTCCCCGTTCTGGGACTCAATTTTCTCATTTTAAAAAATAAAGTATTATTAAGTATAATGATTAAGGGTACTGACATCAGAAGACGTGTTCTTACCTCAGTTCTGCTTATTATATGAGACTTTGGGCAGGTTACTTAACCTCTCTGACCCTGACTTTCCCATACAGACATTTTAGTTGGCCATTAACATCCTGTTTTATAACTTCCATTAGCCACTTAATAAGTAGTAACCTCTTAAATGGAAATTTGAAAATTTATCTTTTTATTTTTGGTTTAGGATTAAGTAAAGAGAAAACATGAGTTAAAATTTAGAAGGTGGCAATTGATTTTCATTTGTCTTGAGAAACAGTTTGAAATTGTCTTAAGGAATTTTATATAAAACTGAAAAATTATTTTAAGGACGTCTATATAAAACTGAAAACACAAAGGCTACTTAAAGACTACAGATTTTTTTTTAATCTAGAAAGCTTCCAAAATGTAATTTTAAGTTACTCATCTGTTAAGCAACTCTTCACTTGTATCTCCAATACAAAGGAAGATTCTTCTCAAAGAAGACAGTCTGTAATTGCATTTAACTTAAAAAAAAAAAAAAAAAAAAAAGATTAACTAGGAAAATGTGGGGGTCTCTCAGGTAATTGTGACTCTTGAAGTTATTACAAAATAAATAGTATTTTGCTTCACCCGGGTAATTAATAAACATTTCTATTAAATTGCTTAAACAGTTTAAAAGTATTGAATATAAGTGCAGAAACAGATTGCTTTCCCTTTGCATTTCTTGGTGGTTTTCTTTAAATGTTGTATATTTAATTACATTTAATTTTTGGAAAGTTTTTTAAAAGGCAGGATAAACTCATTGTAGAGTCCAAAATAGCTTTACCTTATGCACCTGAATAAGGAAGTTTTTGCTCTGGATTGCCCAGGGTCACTACTGAGAAATGAGTTTCTATAGGTTAGTTCTACCAAATGGAGCTTTACTCAACAGGCTGTCAATACAGAATAGCTTATGCTTTTTGAACTTGGCAGGTTTTTCTTATTCAACCCCATTCTGCAGAATGCACCAGTTGGAACAAGCAACTACGGAACACCTAAGATGACACTGTTAGGAAAAAAGATTAAATCTTTATCCTGGCAATGGGTCTAATTTCTCTCCTAATTTATCATTGTGAATTTATAAAATGTAGCAAAGCAAAAGCAAGATTAGAATATCTGGGCTAGTGATCAGTGAGGGAAACAAAGGGAGATTTAAATATTTTTTAAAAGATTGATGCTTCCAGTTTTATCCATTACAGATAATTCTGTAATGAACTTCTTACAATTAGCACATAGCAAACTTGAGGGAAATTTTCATTATAACAAATTACTGGGAGTGGAGTTTTTAATCAAAGAGTATACATGTTTTACAATTTGACAGATAAGTTAAATAAGTTACCTTACAGGCATACAATGGAATGCAACCCTTAAAAAGAATGAGTTAAATCTAAAGTACTGCTATTTTTAAATGTCCACAGTATATTATTAAATCATAAAAGGAGTTACTTCACTCTGTAAAATTCCATTAATGTAAGATGTTAGTATTTCAGAGAGGAAAATCTGGAAGAATTTATGTCAAACACTGATTAACTCATTCATCAAATTTGGAGATTACTTTCTACATTATGTAAGTAGTGCATGGATAAATTCATCTTGTGAAAATAAATTTAATACAGATGCACAAACACTGTACCAAAATGTTTAAAAAGTTTTATTCATAAAAGCCCAAAACTTTAAACAATTCAATGCTCATCAACTGGTGAATGAATAGAAAAATTTGGTATCTCCACACAATGGATACTACTTAGCAATAAAGGAAAAAAACTATTGATGCATAATATAACTTGGATTAATCTCAAAATCATTATGCGAGGAGAAAGAAGCCACACACAAAAGACTACATACCATATGATTTCATTTATATGAAATTCTGGAAAGGGCAAATATATAGTATTAGCAGATCAATGGTGGGCCAGGGGCTGGAAGTGAGGATAACTTATAAAGGAGTATGAAGGAACTTTTGGGGCAATAGATATGATTGATATCATGATTCTGGTGTTGGCTACATTACTATATACATTTGTTAAAGTTTATAAAATTGTATATTTAAAATATGTGAACTTTACTGCATGTAAATTTTATATGTATAGATTTTTTAAAATACCCACTTTATTTTTATTAATTTCAGAAAGGAAGAGAGAGATAGAAACATCAATGATGAGAGAATCTGCCTCCTGCAGGCCCCACACTGGGGACTGAGCCCATAACCCAGACATATACCCCTACCAGGAATCGAATTGTGATTTCCTGTATCATAGCTCAATCACTGAGCCAGGCTGGTTGGGCTTAATCAAGTGGATTTTTAAAGTACAGATAAAGCTCTCTTTTGACTACTACTCCCAAACCAGGTTCTCTCAGACTCTGGGAAGGCTCCCTCCTCTCTCTATACAGGTTAAACAGGTAACCACTAACTATCTCTGTTACAGATTATACTTCAAAGTTCTTGTGCATTTATACATAAACCCTGGGAAATCTACAATTTTATATTACTTTATAGTATTATCATTATTTGGCTTTTTCCATTAATTGTATCTTGGAGATCTTTTCATTAGGATTTATAGTTCTACATCATTCTAATTTTTGATAGTATCCCATAGAATAGATATACTATACTTTATTCACCAACTCTCTATTATTTAACCATATATGAGTGTCATTGTGTGCCAGATCCAGGGATCTGGATGCACTTATCAGGTAGAGATTAGAAGTGACAAAGTGAGGCATTGTGGGACTTTGTCTCCCAGTTTGCCTTACTAATGAAATATAAAAATGGACTAGCCATGGCTGGGTGATTCAGTTGGATGTTGTGATTCATCAAAAAGGTTGCGGGTTCAATTCTCATTCAGGGTGCATACCTAGGTTGTGGATTCACCCCTGGTCAGGGCGCTTACCAGGGAGGCAACCCAAGGATGGACATTTCTCTTACTGACGTTTCTCTCCTTCCCTCTTCCTCCCGCTCGCTCGCTCGCTCTCGCTCTCTCTCTCTCTCTCTCTCTCTCTCAAAAACAACACACACACATACATCCTTGGGTGAGGATTAAAAAACACTCACACAGACTAGAGTCCTGCCTTTTGGTTTGTTTTAAAAATTATTTTATTTTTTTGGTTAACAACTTTGCCATACAATTCCTCATTCAAAGTTTGTAATTCAATAGTTCCAGTAATTCATAGAGCCATGTAACCATCACCATCATCAAATCTAGATCATTTTCATCACCTCAAAAGGAAACCCTCCACCCTTTAGCTGTAATCCCCAAGCCTCCCATCCTCTCTAGCCCCAAGCAACCACAAATCTGTCTCCATAGATTTGCCTACTCTGAACTCTTCAAACAAATGGTATCAGGATATGTGGTCCTTTATGACTAGATTCCCCCGCACATACACACAGTATAAACTTCTCAAGGCTTATCTAGTTTGTAGTATACGTCAGTACTTTATTCCTTTTTGTTGTTGAATAATATTCATTGTATGAATGTACTACATTTTGTTTACTCACTAGTTGATGGACATTTGAGTCATTTCCACTTTGGGTTACTATATCCTAATAAAAGAGAAAATGCAAATTAACCCCACCTTCACTACACCCACAAGCTATGTCCACCAGCCAATCAGGGCGAGCATGCAAATTAACCCAGCCAAGATGGCGGTAAATTTGCATACCCAGGCCAGAGCGAAGACTGAAGGCAGTGTAGAAAGAAGCCAAGCATTGCAGAAGGGAGCGAAGCTGCAGAGAAGCAAGCAAGCAGGACGGTGGTGAAGGGAAACAGGCGGGGCAGGGAGAAGGGAGAGAAGCCCGTGGGGCTGCTGAGAAGGGAGGGAAGCAGGCAGGACAGCAGAGACCACAGCAGGAAGCCCTATTGCAGGAATCTTTGTGCAAGGGGCATCTAATATATATATAAAAACCTAAGTGACCTTCACTACCAGACAGTAGCCATGACGTGCACTGACCACCAGAGGGCAGACGCTTAACATAGGAGCTGCCCCTTGATGGTCATTGCCTGGGCCCACAGCCAACCTCCCTTGTCTGACACCCTCACCTCACCTGGCCCCATGATTGGGCCAGTCAGCCAACCTCGCGAAGTCCCCATCCACAACTGGTCAGATTGCTGGCCAGGTTGAAGGTCCCCACCCATGCACAAATTTGTGCACCAGACCTCTAGTTATGAATAATGCTGCTATGAATATTTGTGTACAGGATTTTGTATGGGTATGTTTTCATTTCTCTTGACTATATACCTAGGAGTGGAATTGCTGAGTCAAATGGAAAGTCTATGCTTAACTTTTTGAAAAACTACCAGACTGTTTCTATCTAAAGTTCTTTTACCATTTTGTTTCCATCAGCAGTGTATGAAGTTTCTGATTTATCTACATTCTTAACTCTAGTTATCTTTTTATTTTAGCCACCTTATTTAATATCAAGTTGGTATAACACTGTGGTTATGATTTGCATTCTCATAACTGAATGTTAAACTTCCTTTAAAAATCTTTATCTTTATTGTTGAAAGTATTTCAGATGTCCTCTTCTTAAAGGTTTAGACAAGTGGGCAAAAGGGTTTTCAATAGGTAATATTGTCTTAACTATGAAGAGCGGTTATGATTCTTTGAGTGGGAGTGATGTATCTAGAAATACTTCCAAGGGAGTTAAAATTGAAACAGATCTTTAGAACGGGCGAATATCCTAAACTACTAAAACAGTTGGGATCTATGGGGGAAGTGGCATAGATTACCGGGAACTTTTATTTTTTTTTCACAAGACGTATGACTTATTTTGAATCAGGAAAACATTAAGATCACAAATATTTTGAAAGTGAGAAGGCTTCCCACTTCCTCAACATAAGGAATCAATCTTACATGCTTCTGAGAGACGGTAGAAGCAAGCCTTCCTTGTTGGCTTCTCTTAAAAGCTGAATAATTGTTGAAAACAGGAGTTCTCTTGTCTTGACCTAGGATTAGGGATCTTCAGTATGACCTCGCCTGGGGGGTGGAAGCGGCTAGACCTAGCTTCTTCAGCGGTTGCCACAGGCTCTCCGCCAGCTCGTCGTCCACGAGGGCGTGAGTCTGGTCCAGCGCGTGCAACGTGTTCGTTGGAGGGACCGGGGAATCCCCAGCACGCGTTGCAGTGGAGGACGACGCCCTAAAGGCAGAAAGAACGGAAGTCAACTACCTCCTTACCCACAATGCACAACCCACCTTTCCGGAAGCAAGGATTATAATCTCCAGGATGCACTTATCAGGTTGAAGGGTCTCGCTAAAGTCTGATTGGTGGAAGTGACACAGCGAGGCATTGTGGGACTTTGTCCCCCTGGACGCCTGTGCTAACTGGACGCGCCCGGTTCCTGCGGCCACGTCCCGGAGGCGGCGGCGACGGCAGATGCACGTCAGCAGAGCGGGCCGCTCCGCTCCGTGCGCAGGCGCAGTAGCCCGGACAGCACCGGAAGCGCGGGGGGATGGGCCGGCGGTGACGCGATTCTGTCCGCGTTGGAGGGGCCGGGCCGCTGCCGGAGTCGCCGCGGCCGCCGAGTGACGTGGCACAGCCGAAGCCTTAACACTCGAGCCGGAGCTGCCGCGGCAGACGTCGAGGAGGTACGCGCCCCGCTGATCCCGGCCCCGGAGCGTCGCCCGGCGCGCCGGCTTGCGAGCCGCCCCCCTGCCGCCCTCTTTTCTTCGTTCGCCCCTCCACCTCGCTCAGTTTTTGCCGGGAGCGTGAAGGCAGAAGGCCGGGGGAAGCTCCAACCAAACCCCTTCTGCTCCAGCCCATCGCGAGTGCAGCCACCGCCATGGGCCTCACCATCTCCTCCCTCTTCTCCCGCCTCTTCGGCAAGAAGCAGATGCGCATTTTGATGGGTGAGTGAGCGGCCGAGAGCGGAGTCGGAGCCCGGCGCGGGGGTCGGGGGGCGGCGGCGGCGGGGCGGCGGGGCCCGGCTTCGCCTCTTTTCGCCGCGGTGGGGGAGGGGCGGCAGTTGGGGGTCGGGAGGGATTCTGAAGGGGAAACAATGGGGTGAAGGATGGGTGGTTGCCCCAGGACCTGTCCGAGAGGCCCTGTAGCGGCGCGGGCAAGATCTCCTCCTCCTCCTCCTGCATTTGGCTTCCTCTCCTTGGTCTTCTCGAACGGCCGACAAGATTGGGCGGAGATAGGGGGGAAGCGACCTGGGTTCCTGCAGAGCCCGGAAAGAAGACGCTGGCGGGGCCCCTTCTTGAGAATGCGATCTGGCTGCCCCCTTCCCCGGGTGTGGGCAGCGGCCGGGAGGCAGGCAGAGCGACTCGGTTCCTCCCCCCTCCTCCCCCCTCTCCTTCCGTGTCCACTCCGCACGCTCCATCGGTATGTGAGCGAGCGGGCGGGCGCCGGGGCCCGCCGGGCGGAAGTGGCCGCCGCGGCGCGGTGGCACCGGAGGGACCCGGCTCCTCTGTGCTCACTTCTTTCAACTTTGCTTCGCGCTGGGTTCCGTTCCGCTTCCTATTTTTCCTTTTCCTCGTTAGGAGCCCTGGACAGTGAGTTTTTCATGACATGTTTCTTTCAGTCACTCTCAAACACTAAATGTGTTTGATTCACTCTCTTTGGCTTTCAATCTGATTTTTTTTATTCGTAGTCTTATTTTATTAGCCCAGCTGGCTAGGTTTAATGGGGGTAAGGGGTGGGGGGGGGAGAAACTTTCAGAAAGTAATTTTCTTAAGCCGATGACAAGTTTTCAGTAACTGAACTTTATGACGCTTAATGTGAGGGTAGCCTTCTTAGTAACTACAAAGGTGTTCTTTTTTAAATTCTTTTGGGAAATAGGCTTTTGAAAACCTGCTTTTTTCAGGGTTATTTTTCGCCCAGCTGAGGGAGAAGGGACTTGTCATTTGAGTGAAGTAAGCAACCCCTCCCCCGTAGTACTGTGGCTAATCTGCATTGTAGCTAAGCTCCATGGATGGACCCCAATAATGCTAAAAGGTGCCCCTCTAACTTTAAAATTGAAACTTGGTTCATTACCTTGTTTTCTAGAGAGTGGAAAGGGTTAAGGCATTATTTTTAAGTTGTACCATTGAAAGTTTTCCAAAGCAAGGTTCAGTAGTACTTCAAGGTGTATGAAGATTAAGGGTAAACACATTTGGTTCT